CCTCATTTATCTATATATTCTATAAACATGTAGAGCTATTTAATTAATGTTGTATGTTTCAAAAAAAGCAATACTCTTAGTTGGTCGCGATAATTCTTAGACAATTCTTTGCTCTGATGATTTTTAAAAATTATAGTCTAAGTATAAGATGAATAGTCTAAATTACTTTCAAAAATTTATTTTTATCACTATCAACTATTAATAAAGTGAAAAATTATTAAAAAAAGTAAATTATGAATATTCAGATTTATATGAATAAAAAATTTATTTCAGATGAATTTTAAAAATTTATTTTCTAAGTTTTTACTGTTTGTTTTGGTTTAACAACAGAATAAGATTAGTTTTAAATTAAAAAATAATAATTAAGAATTTATTTCATTTATCTTATTTTAAAATAATTTATCTAATTTTAATTAAGGAAATATTTATGATAGAATGAATGAAAGTTAACTAATATATTTAATAATTATTTTAAAAAGTTATTTTTTTGCACATTATTTTATTGAGAATATAGTGAATTAATTAGTTACTAGGATTTTTTCAAATATGACTAAATAAATAAATAACTGTTCAACTCTAATTTCTACTATATTTTTAAGTACATGTTTTAAATACAAATATAAAGATTAAATAATGAATTTTAAATTAATTTTTCTGTGACATCTCTTCATAAAACCAAATTTATAAATTAATATTTGATAATTAATTAATTCTTATATTTTATTTGTTCTTTTTATACATTAATAATTAATTAAAATCCATAAATTGCTATTCAATATTTTTGAAAAAAAATAAATGAGATAATAGATTACAAAATATTACAAATTAGAAGAAGTAATTATTTATTTTTTTATTAATATCATTTAAATTTATATTTATTAATAAAAAAAGTTTATAAACTCTTCGCTTTTATCTCATTAGGTTCTCCATATTTATTTGAGGTATATTTTATTAATTAATATTATTTTTATTATTTATTAATATATTTTAAATATTTAACTTTCAATTTATTTAAATAAATAATTTTTATTGTAGAAATTATCATGCATGATTACTTATTGATTTTTATTAAAACAAAAATTATTTAGCTATCTTAACTTAATTTTCATTTTAATTTTTAATTATTTATTATTCATTTTTTATTATTTGATATTTTTTCTTTATTTTTTGCTATTAAGTTAATAAAAGCAGTTTATTTGTTTTGGATTGTAATATTTTAATAATAAAAGTTAATTTAAAGCACTAAAGCTATTTTAATTTATTTGATTTATTTTCCTTTTTCTTTTTATTGTGATATCTTTTTTTTTTCATTCTTTGTTAATTTTACTAATTATTAATTAATCTTATTATTTCATATTTTTTCTTCATTTTTTCCTCCTAATTAACTATTTAATGATATATATATTTTCTTCAATATTTAAAAAGTAATAATTATATTGGTGATGAAGATGCATCAGGCTTAGGTTCTGCTTTAGCAAATTGCATTAATCTCTCAAATTTGGCACTTGACCTTAGGTAAAAACAGTTTATTTGTTTTGGATTGTGATATATTTTTAATTATAAAAGCTAATTAAAAACAATAAAGCTCTTTTTTCTTTTTCTTTTTATTGTGTTTACTTTTTTTTTGTTCTTTCTTTGTTAATTTAACACATCAGTTATTTTCAATTTTTGCTTTTATTATTAATTATTTAATCTTATTATTTCATATTTTTTCTTCATTTTTTCCTTCTAATTAATTATTTAATGATATATTTTTTCTTCAATATTTAAAAAGTAATAATTATATTAGTGCAATGGGTGCATCAGGCTTAGGTTCTGCTTTAGCAAATTGCATTAATCTCTCTAATTTGACACTTAACCTTAGGTAAAAATAGTTTATTTGTTTTGGATTGTGATATATTTTTAATTATAATAGCTAATTAAAAACAATAAAGCTTTTTTTCTATTTATTTTTATTGTGCTTACTTTTTTTTTGTTCTTTCTTTGTTAATTTAACTTATCATTTTATTTTCAACTTTTGCTTTTATTATTAATTAATTAATCTTATTATTTCATATTTTTTCTTCATTTTTTCCTTCTAATTAACTATTTAATGATATATATATTTTCTTCAATATTTAAAAAGTAACAATTAAATTGGTATTGCCGATGCATCAGGCTTAATTTCTGCTTTAACAAATTGCATTAATCTCTCAAATTTGACACTTGTCCTTCGGTAAAAACAGTTTATTTGTTTTGGATTGAGATATATTTTTAATTATAAAAGCTAATTAAAAACAATAAAGCTCTTTTTTGTTTTTCTTTTTATTTTTCTTGCTTTTTTTTGTTCTTTCTTTGTTAATTTAACTCATCATTTTATTTTCAATTTTTGCTTTTATTATTAATTATTTAATCTTATTATTTCATATTTTTTCTTCATTTTTTCCTTCTAATTAACTATTTAATGATATATATATTTTCTTCAATATTTAAAAAGTGAAAATTAAATTGGTGCAATGGGTGCATCAGGCTTAGGTTCTGCTTTAGCAAATTGCATTAATCTCTCAAATTTGACACTTGACCTTGGGTAAAAACAGTTTATTTGTTTTGGATTGTGATATATTTTTAATTATAAAAGCTAATTAAAAACAATAAAGCTCTTTTTTCTTTTTGTTTTTATTGTGCTTTCTTTTTTTTTTTGTTCTTTCTTTGTTAATTTAACTTATCATTTTATTTTCAACTTTTGCTTTTATTATTAATTAATTAATCTTATTATTTCATATTTTTTTCATTTTTTCATTCTAATTAACTATTTAATGATATATTTTTTCTTCAATATTTAAAAAGTTCTAATTAAATTGGTGATGAAGGTGCATCAGGCTTAGGTTCTGCTTTAGCAAATTGCATTAATCTCTCAAATTTGACACTTGACCTTGGGTAAAAACAGTTTATTTGTTTTGGATTGTGATATATTTTTAATTATAAAAGCTAATTAAAAAAAAAATAAAGCTCTTTTTTCTTTTTGTTTTTATTGTGCTTGTTTTTTTTTTGTTCTTTCTTTGTTAATTTAACTCATCATTTTATTTTCAACTTTTGCTTTTATTATTAATTAATTAATCTTATTATTTCATATTTTTTCTTCAATATTTAAAAAGTTGTAATAAAATTCGTGATGTCGGTGCATCAGGTTTAGGTTCTGGTTTAGCAAATTACATTAATCTCTCAAATTTGACACTTGACCTTAGGTAAAAACAGTTTATTTGTTTTGGATTGTGATATATTTTTTAATTATAAAAGCTAATTAAAAACAATAAAGCTTTTTTTCTTTTTCTTTTTACTGTGCTTGTTTTTTTTTGTTCTTTCTTTGTTAATTTAACTCATCATTTTATTTTCAACTTTTATTTTTATTATCAATTAATTAATCTTATTATTTCATATTTTTTCTTCATTTTTTCCTTCTAATTAACAAATTAATGATATATTTTTTCTTCAATATTTAAAAAGTGGAAATTAAATTGGTGATGCCGGTGCATCAGGCTTAGGTTCTACTTTAGCAAATTGCATTAATCTCTCAAATTTGGCACTTAACCTTAGGTAAAAACAGTTCATTTGTTTTGGATTATGATATATTTTTAATTATAAAAGCTAATTAATAACAATAAAGTTCTTTTTTCTTTTTGTTTTTATTGTGTTTGCTTTTTTTTGTTCTTTCTTTGTTAATATAACTCATCATTTTAATTTAAACTTTTGCTTTTATTATTAATTAATTAATCTTATTATTTCATATTTTTTCTTCATTTTTTCCTTCTAATTAACTATTTAATGATATATTTTTTCTTCAATATTTAAAAAGTTGGAATGAAATTGGTGCAATGGGTGCATCAGGCTTAGGTTCTGGTTTAGCAAATTGTATTAATCTCTCAAATTTGACACTTGATCTTCGGTAAAAACAGTTTATTTGTTTTGGATTGTGATGTTTTTAATTAAAAAAACTAATTAAAAAACATAAAGCCTTTTTTTTTTCTTTTTATTGTTCTTGCTTTTTTTTTGTTCTTTCTTTGTTAATATAACTCATCATTTTATTTTTAACCTTTGCTTTTAATATTAATTAATCTTATTATTTCATATTTTTTCTTCATTTTTTCCTATTAATTAACTATTTAATGATTTATTTTTTCTTCAATATTTAAAAAGTGAAAATTAAATTGGTGCAATGGGTACATCAGGCTTAGGTTCTGCTTTAGCAAATTGCATTAATCTCTCAAATTTGACACTTTACCTTTAGTAAAATTTTATTTGTTTTGGATTGTGATATATTTTTAATTATAAAAGCTAATTAAAATCAATTAAGTTTTTTTTCTTTTTCTTTTTATTGTGCTTGTTTTTTTTTGTTCTTTCTTTGTTAATATAACTCATCATTTTAATTTAAACTTTTGCTTTTATTATTAATTAATTAATCTTATTATTTCATATTTTTTCTTCATTTTTTCCTTCTAATTAACTATTTAATGATATATTTTTTCTTCAATATTTAAAAAGTTGGAATAAAATTGGTGCAATGGGTGCATCAGGCTTAGGTTCTGCTTTAGAAAATTGCATTAATCTCTCAAATTTGACACTTTACCTTTAGTAAAAGTTTATTTGTTTTGGATTGTGATATATTTTTAATTATAAAAGCTAATTAAAAACAATAAAGCTTTTTTTCTTTTTCTTTTTATTGTGCTTGTTTTTTTTTGTTCTTTATTTGTTAATATAACTCATCATTTTATTTTCAACTTTTACTTTTATTATTAATTAATTAATCTTATTATTTCATATTTTTTCTTCATTTTTTCCTTCTAATTAACAATTTAATGATTTATTTTTTCTTCAATATTTAAAAAGTGGAAATTAAATTGGTGATGCCGGTGCATCAGGCTTAGGTTCTGGTTTAGCAAATTGTATTAATCTCTCAAATTTGACACTTGATCTTCAGTAAAAACAGTTTATTTGATTTGGATTGTGATATATTTTTAATTATAAAAGCTAATTAAAAACAATAAAGCTCTTTTTTTTATTATTGTGCTTGCTTTTTTTTGTTCTTTCTTTGTTAATATAACTAACTCATCATTTTATTTTCAACTTTTGCTTTTATTATTAATTAATTAATCTTATTTATTATTTCATATTTTTTCTTCATTTTTTCCTTCTAATTAACAATTTAATGATTTATTTTTTCTTCAATATTTAAAAAGTGGAAATTAAATTGGTGATGCCGGTGCATCAGGCTTAGGTTCTGGTTTAGCAAATTGTATTAATCTCTCAAATTTGACACTTAAACTTGAGTAAATACAGTTTAGTTTGTTTTGGATTGTGATATATTTTTAATTTTTAAAGCTAATTAAAAACAATAAAGCTCTTTTTTCTTTTTCTTTTTATTTTTCTTGCTTTTTTTTGTTCTTTCTTTGTTAATATAACTCATAATTTTATTTTTATTTTGTTTTTATTATTAATTAATTATATTATTTCATATTATTTCATTTTTTCATATTAATTAACTATTTAATGATATATTTTTTCTGTATTTAAAAAGGGAAAATTAAATTAGTGCAATGGGTGCATCAGGCTTAGGTTCTGCTTTAGCAAATTGCGTTAATCTCTCCTATTTAACACTCTGGCTTATGTAAAAATAGTTTATTTGTTTTGGATTGTGATATTTTAAACTATAAAATGAATAAAAAACAAGAAAGCACTTTGAATTTTTTTGATAGCTTTTATTTGATTTATTGTTTTATCTTTTTTATTCCACAAATGTATTTTATTTATTAATTTAATAAATAGTTTTTAATTTAAAAGTTTATTCTATTTTCATATTTATTTAATATTTACACTAATTTATTATAAAATTTTTAGCCCAATGAATGTATCATAAAAATTCAAAGTAATAAGCAAGTGTCTTAAATCAAAAAGATTAGTTGTCTTTAAAATATTCTCATGATAAACAACTAGCGAAAAAAGGATGAATAAATATTAGATGTTTGAATAATAATAAATAACATGTTTTATTATATAATATTTTGAAAAAGTTTATTTGACCTAAAATATAAATAGATAGATTTTATTATTGATTTTATATTTATAAATATAGTTCATATTTTTGGAAGTAAATAAATAATTTATAAAAAATAAAAAAATTAAAAAATTAAATTTACTTCAATAAATTAATTCCTCTTAAGCAAATTTCTCCAAAAACCATCAAATAATTTGAAACTTTTAGTGTTATATTATATCTTATTAAATTAAATAAATACCAAGCTTTTATATGCCATTTATATTTTAATCTTAAATATTATCTATTAATCATATTGGTAAGGTAGTTGCTGTTAGGATTTTTCTTAAAAACCAAATTTATGACTTTTATGTTTTGTATTTTTTTAGGATTAATCCTAATATAATAAAATGTATTATCGTCAAAAATCCTAATAACATATAGTAAGTTTCTTTAATTCAATCCCCTCTTTCAAATATATTTTATACAAAGATATTTTAAATGAATCATATATAATTAATTGGATAGAGGAGAGAGAGTATATTTTAAATATAAAATTAAAATTTTTATATGAGACTTAAAATTTTGATTGGATTTTTCAAAATATTTGGATTGATTGGAATGGATAAATTAATACATCACCTATTGGATTTTTTAATTTTTAATTGTAAATTATTTATAAATTAAGTTATTTTAAAAAATTTTCTTCACTATAAAGTGTTAAATTTTATACAATAATAGCAAATTAATAAAAATAAGGTATTCCTATTTAAAGTTTTAAAAAGAATATTTCAAATAATCAAAATATATGGATAAGATTAGAATAACTGATACATAATATTCTATAATATTATCATAAAAATGTTGAAAATTTTTTAAAAATTTAAGAAGATTTTCAATTATTAAGAATTTTAACTTTAAATGTAATAAATAAAACATAAAAAACCATCCAATCAAATATTTTATTTAATGAAAAAAATTCTACTTCTACTTTAATTGAATTTTTTAGGCTAAGATCATTTATACACAGGAAGATATATCCAAATTTAATATTAGTATTCCTAGAAACATTTTTAATTATTAATTTTTATACAAAATTGAGATTTTTATATTAAAAAGGCAAATTGCTTACGATGTATCAGTATTGATTAAAAATACAAATAATGCATATTTTTTATATAAAAATACAATTTATTAATTAAGCGCAAAAAATTTGCTTTTAAAGTTAATGAATAATAAGAATAATAACTAATATAATCACAAATCTAAAGCAAAAGATGAATAAAAAATATAAAATAATTCTGCATAAAATTTTAAGCGGGGAATTACCAATAATTAATAGTAAAAAGGAAAGGATACTGACAAAAATTATAGGAATTAAAGCAAAAATAGTAGTGATAAACATTCTAATAGATTCAATTAAAATGATCGACTTAATCGAAAGAGAAATTATAAAGAAAGAGATGAAGACTATTACGATGATGAGAAAATTGAAGAGAGAATGAAAAGTTCTTTAAATTAATTCTTTTATTACGACTAAGAAAAGCAAAAATACTTTAGAAAAAAAGATGAACACAAAAATCCTATTTGGGAAGGTTCTGAAGTAGGAAGAATAGATTAAATAGAAGAAGTAGAAATAGATTCTGAAGAATTGCCTTTTATTATTTATGATATGAAAGAAGTAGAGAAAAATTAGATTTATATAAACCCAAGAGATATTATTTATAAATATAAAAAGAAATTCAGATTACCTAATGAGTTTTTATATTTCTATGAGCTAAAAGATATAATAAATTCTTTTAAAGCAGAATATGTTGAAAAATATTTTTCTAATTAAATGAATAGAAATTAGTAAGAAAGAAAGATAATAAACTCATAATTCTTGTGTATAAATGAATATAAAGCTAAAGTGGTTTACTTTGATTTTGCAAATCATAAAAATTACAATCTTATTGTTTTGGCTATTAAAAGTGATCAATAAAATAAAGTGTCTTTTATCATTATTTCTATTAATAAATACTTGTAATCTCAAATCATAAAACTAGTTCCAAATATAGATTGCTAATAATTTTTAAAGCTCATAATAATAAAATAAATTTTAAATTAAAACAAATTAAATTAAAATAATGAATTGGAAAGCGAGGAATCTGACTATTGCTTGTATGTGACAAAGAAAAGCATAGCAGTATTTTAATATGAAATGACTAACATTTAAAATATTCAATAGAATTTTGTAGAGCAAATAAGTATTAACTTTGAGATATTAGGAGTAGAGCAATTTTAAAGCAGCCAAATAATCATTTTAACAAGAAAAGAACTGACATGCTATAATATTAGATAGAAAAGGAACATATTTAAAATCCATTTCTAAAACTATAATGCTTTATATATGAAAATTTGCGCTTAAAATATGATAGCTGTTGTTTACACAGAAAGTCAAAAACTTTTAGTAATATGCTTAAGCTCTCGAAGAATTCTTTTCGCGAAAATAATTACTAATCTAACTGACCTTGCTTTAATGAATGAAAAAATTAATAAAATTTAATTCGTTTATCAACGACTTAAACAAAGCTTGTTCTTTATAGTCTTAGAGAAGTAAGGAAATAAATGGGAATGGAAGAAGTTAGCTTAAGACCAATTATAATTTGGGGAGTAATTGAGTGTAGTTAATCTCTAGTTAAGAAATTAATCTATTCAAATAATTAAAAATAGCCTCTATATTTCTAATAAGATAGTCTGTTAACATTAGTTTGATGGTGAATACTTTAATAGTAGCAACCAATCTTAATGCGAAGAACAAAGCAATAACATTTCAGTTATTTTATAAACTTTTTTTTAAATAAAAGACAGTCTTTATTTAATTTATTATAACGACTATTAAATACAAATACAATACTCTCAAGTAAACACATAAAATTGAATATCAATTAATAAAAATACAATACTTATTTTTAGTATTTCATAATTATATTTAGATAATTAAATTTAGTCTTTCTTTATATTTTTAAAGAATTAAGCAATTAGATAAATTAAATTGCCAAAAATGAGTTTTATTTTATGTTAATATTTTTTTGTTTTACCTTGAATTTCTCAAAGCAAAGAATATTTTGGACTGTTAATAATTAGTTGATATTTTTAAATTATTTGTGATTATTTTTCAAACAAAAAGCAATATAGAGCATAAAGCTAAGATTAAATAACTTAAATTTAAAACTACTCCTTCACTACTCAAAAAAAAAGTCTAGTAAGTATTTTAAACTTTTGCTTAAAATCCTAGTACATAGGTTAATTTTCCATTTACTTTTGAAGTTGCGCATAAATTCATAAAATTATATCCATATAACATATTTTGGCCTTGCAACCTAAAACTTGTATCAATTGTTAGAGATTTTTCTGCTGGTTATAAATTTAATTATTGGAGAGGAGAGCTTTTATCATTAGCAGTTAATGTAATAGATGTTATTTATTAAGAATCAGCTTAAATTGACATAGTGACGTCAGAAGTGAAACAATTTTAACAATCTGTTGAATCTGGCTTTAAGATCTAATTATTCAATTAGTCAACAGTAAAACTGCAATCATCATCGTTATCACTTGCATTTGCTATAAGCAAAAGATAAAAAGCTAAAGTTAATAAAATTTATTTTTTCATTGTTTTTCTAAGTTTAGTTTTTTATTATTTTTAATAATTTATTTTATTAGATAGATAATAACAAGTTTTTAAATAAATTATCTTAATTTTAATTTTGCCATGAGATATTACTTAAATTTAATTTGTGTGTATGTATGTATTAATCAGAGATAAGTTGAAATAAACTCACTTTTTGAGTTTACCAAATATATCTAAATAAATTTGGATATTATGTCAAATTTGTTAAAGTTGCCACCCTTGAAAGCTAAATTTCTTATCAGAATTTAAACCAGCCAGAATTATTATTTATGATGGGTGATTTTTTTCTATTAATTTTTAAATTATTTAAATAGTTTGAAATTGTTAATTAAAAAATATGAAAATAAAGTAAGTAAGTTAGTAAGTAAATATATTAGTAGATTAGAAGTTTTTCACTTATTAAAAAATGTAATCTACTAATCAATTATATTTTATTTGTTTAATAAATAGTCTTGTAAAACAAATAGAAAATAAAATAAATAAACAAATATGTAAAATATTATAAAATTATGAATATTTAAAAGAGAGAGAAGCTAAATTTCATTTTCGCTACTTTTTAAAACATTTTTTAAAATTAAAATCTATTGATTAATTTTTTCAGACTACAATTAGCATAGTCTTAATTTAAGAAAACTTTATATAAATTATCTAATTAATATGCAAATTAATTTGGTAATTTAAATAAATATATAAGATTATTTTCCTTTATTAAAATATGTAAATAATTAATCAATCTAAATGATTGTATTTGTTAAAAATAAATCTTGTAAAACAATCAAGAAAATAAAATAAATGAGCATATTTTATAGTAATTTTAAATAATTAATATTTAATAGAGAAATAACTTCTAATAACCAAAATCTATTGATTGATATATATATTTACAGATGAAAGTTAGCATATCCTTAATTTAAGAAAATCTTATATAAATTGTTTAATCAATATGCAAATAAATTTGCTAATTTAAATAAATATTTAAGATAATTTTCCTTAGTTAAATGTGTAATCAATCAATCAATCTAAGTGAATTTATTTGTAAATAATAAATTTTGTAAAATTAGCAAGAAAATATCATCAATAAGCACATTTTTTTATAATTATAAAATGATAAATATTTAAAAGCGAAAGGACTTTTAATAACCTAAATCTATTGATTAGTATATAAGAATAAATTGAGTAAATATTTTAATTAAAGACCACCTGATATAAAACATTCTTTCATGATAAGCATTAATTATATTAATTTAAATTAAAATATAAAAGGATTTTCTTTAACAAAATATGAAATCCCTTTATTAATCATGGTTATATATTTCAAATAAAAAGAGTCAGGAGGTAAAGCAATAGAAAATATAAAAATGGAGGTTAAAATCTAATTTTTAATTAAATATTTGTTAATTAATATTTAATCGAGAAAATTATTTCTTTTTATCTTTTAGAATCCTTCAAAACATTTTAATTACTTGAAACTTATTTATACAATACATAATTTATTAAAAATTAAGGGATTTTAAGGCCAATGCGTTCAAAATCGAAGTTTAATATGTTGGTGATATTTAATTTATTTATAAATATTCAGAAAATATGGTCAAAATTTAATAGGATTTAGGGTATATATAATTATCTGATTATAAAATATTATAAAAAAACATATTCTTTTATTCTAATATTTTTATTATTATTAGTCCTTTTTTCACTTCTTTTTGATCATGAATGTATTATTTTAAAGATAACTAATCTTTTTGATTTAAGACACTTTACTTCCAACAATTGTTTTTTATTGATTTAGTTTTCACTTTTAATATAAATTATTAAATAAGAATAATAGAATAAAACTAAAAAAAATATAATATTTTAAATCAATAAATAAAAAATATGCTAGCAGGAAAATTTAAAAGAAAATAATAAATAAATAAATTCAAAGACAGACTTAGTTGTTTTGTTTTAAATTTATTTTTATATTTAAAAAATATCACAACCCAAAACAATTAAATATTTTTTACTCTAGATCAAGTATCAAAATTGAGAGATTAGTGAACTTTACTAAATTAAAACCTAAGGCTTATGCACCTTCATCATTAATTGAATTCCAACTTTTTAAAAATAGAAAAAAATTAAAAGGTTATTAATTAGTTAGTTAGAAAGAAAAAATGAGAGATAGTAAGAAATTAATTTATTAATAATAACAGCAATACATGAAAATAAAAAAAGGAATTAAATTACTAAGAAAAAAAGAAAATAAAAAAAACACAATATAACAAATTATTTTAATTTGTTTATTAGCTTTTTATTTGATTTATTTTTCTATTTTTTATGATCGTGCTTTTTAAATTCATTTTTATATTAAAAATGGTCACAATACAAAACAAATAAACTGTTTTTACGCTAAATCAAGCGTCAAATTTGAGAGATTACTGAGCTTTCCTAAACCAGAACCTAAGCATGATGCACCTTCATCACCAATTTAATTTCCACTTTTTAAATTTTGAAGAAAAAAAATATAGTCATTAATTAGTTAGTTAGAATGAAAAAACGAAGAAGAATTAATAATAAAAAAAGTAGAAAATGAAAAAATGAGTTAAATTTACAAACAAAAATAGAAAGAAACTAAAAAAACACAAGCAAGAAAAAATAAATTAGATAAAAAGTTAATAAATAATATTTATATTAAAAGAATTAGTTTGTAAATATTTTAAATTCATAATTCTGTTAATTATTATCAGAATCCAAAACAAATAAGATATATTTACCTAAGATGAAGTATCAAACTTTAGAGATTAGTGAGTTTTCCTAAACCAAAACCTAAATCTGATGCCCCGATTGAACCAATTTTAGTATCACTTTTGAATTTTAAAAATAGATAGTTAATTAGTTAGTTTGAAGGAAAATTTGAAGAAAAGAAATAAAATATTAAGAATTGAATTAATAATAATAAAAGCAAAATTTAAAATAAAAAATGTGTTAAATTAACAAACAAAGAATGAAAGAAAGAAAAAATAAAAGCACAAAAAAAAAATCAAAAAATAAGGTAATAAATAAATAAAATTTAAAAAGTGAATAATATTGTTTTAAATTCATTTTGTATTAAAAAATATCACAATCTAAATAAAACAAATAAACTGTTTTTACTGAAGATCTAGTATCAAATTTGAGAGATTAGTGCACTTTCCTAAACCAGAAACTAAGCCTAATGTACCCTCATCACCAATTTAATTTCCCCTTTTAAATATTAATAAATTAGATAAACAGCTAATAAATATATTAAAAGAGTTCATAATATTTTTTTTAATTTATTTTTATATTAAAAAATATCGCAATCCAAAACAAATAAGATGTTTTTACCGAAGAGAAAGTGTCAAATTTGAGAGTTTAGTGAGCTTTTCTAAACCTGAAACTAAACCTGATGCCCCAGTAGATCCAATTTAATTATCACTTTTAAATATCGAAGAAAAAATATTCAGTTTATTAGTTAGATAGAAAGTTAAAAAATAAAGAAAAAATATGAAATAATTAGAAATTAATTAAAAAATCAAAATCTGAAAATAAAAAAAATGAGCTAAATTAGCAAAGAAAGAAGAAATAAAGCACAATAACAATAAAAAAATAGAAAAATAATTCAAACAAAAAGCTAATAAATAAATTAAAAGAGTTAGTAGTTATATTATTTTAAATCAACTTTTATATTAAAAGATATCGCAATCAAAAATACATTTTTACCAAAGTTAAAGTGTCAAATTTGAGAGATTAGCGCACTCTTCTAAACCAGAACTTAAGCCTAATGCACCTAAATCACCAATTTAATTTTCACTTTTTTAATATTGAAGAAAAAATAAATTGATTATTAGTAACTTTGAAGTAAAAAATGAAGCAAAAAATATGAAATAATAAGAAATGAATTAATAATAAAAAAGAAAACAAAAGTATAAAATGAAAAAACGAGTTTAATTATGAAATAAAGAAAATTAAAAAAAACAGAATCGCAATAAAAAAAATAAATCAAATAAAAAGCTCTTAAATAAACTAAAAAAACTAACTTTGTTATTTAAAAACATTTTTATAATAAAAAATAAAACAATTCAAAAAAAATAAACTGTTTTTACCTTAAATGAAGTGTTAAATTTAAGAGATTAGTGCACTTTCCTAAGCCAGAAACAAAGCCTGACGTACCTTGATCACCAATTTCATTTTGGCTTTTTAAATAATGAAGAAAAAATATGAGATAATAAGAAGTGAATTAATTTATATAAAAGCAAAACTTGAAAATGATTAAATGAGTTAAATTAATAAAGAAAGAATAAAAAACAAATATAATAAAAAAAAGATTAAAAAATCAAATAAAAAGCCAATAAATAAATTATAGAGTTAGTTAGTCAGTTAGTTATATTGTTTTAAATTTATTTTATATTCAAAAATATCACTACTCAAAAAAAAAAAAATTATTTTACCAAAGTTCAATTGTCAAATTTAAAAGATTAGTACATTTTCCTAAGCCAGAACCTAAGCCTGGCAGACCTTCATCATCAATTTAATTAGAACTTTTTAAATATTGAAAAAAAAAATATTTAGTTAAGTAATTTATAATAAATGAAAAAGTTGGAGTAGAAAATATGATGTGTTAATTAATTAAACAAAGAAGGAAAGGAAAAAAAGCAAAAGAAAAATAAACCAGATAAAAATCTAATAAAAGAGTTAGTTATATCATTTTAAATTGCTTTTTATCATTAAAAATATCACACATCAAAATAAATAAACTGATTTTACCGAAGATCAAGTGTCAAATTTGAGAGATTAGTGAGCTTTCCTAAACCAGAACCTAAGCTTGATGCACCTGTTGAGCCAATTTAATTTTCACTTTTTATTTTTTGAAGAAAAAATGGATAGTTATTAATGATGAGTTAGTTAGAAGGAAAAAATGAAGAAAAAATATGAAATAGTAAGAAATGAATTAATTAATAATAAAATCAAAAGTTGAAAATGAAAAAATAAAGGAGTTAAATTAACAAACAAATAAAGATATGAAAAAAAACTAAAGCACAATAAAAAAAGAAAACAAAATTAAAAGTTTTAGTTAGTTTTTTTGTTTAAAATTCATTTTTATATCAAAAAATATAACAATCCAAAAAAAATAAACTATTTTTACAAAAAATTAAATGTCAAATCTGAGAGATTAGTGAGATTTCCTAAACCAAAACATAAGCCTGATACCCCAACTGAACCAATTTAATTATCACTATTAAATATTGAAGAAAAAAATATAGCAAGTTAGTTAGAAAGAAGGAAAAATGAAGAAAAATATGAAATAATAAAAGCAAAAGTGTAAAATGAAAAAATGTGTTAAATTAGCAAACAAAGAATGAAAGAAAAAAACAAAATCACAATAAAAAAAATAAATAAATTAGATAAAAAGTTAATAAATAAATAAATCAAAAGGGTTAGTTTTATAATTTTAAACTCATTTTTACATTAAAAAATATCGCAATCCAAAAAAAATAAACTGTATTTACTTCAGATAAAGTTTCAAATTTGAGAGATTAGCACACTTTCCTAAATCAGAACCTAAATCTGAAGCACCAATTTCACTAATTTAATTTTCACTTTTTAGATATTGAATAAAACAAAAAGAGTAATTAATTAATTAGTTAGTTAGTTTGAAGGAAAAAATGAAAAAATAACAAGAAAAAACAAGAAATTGATTAATAATAAAAGTAAATGTTAAAAATGAAAAAGAATTAAATTAACATACAAAGAAAGAAAGAAAGAAAGAAAGAAAGAAAGAAAGAAAGAAAGAAAGAAAGAAAGAAAGAAAGAAAGAAAGAAAGAAAGAAAGAAAAGAAAAAAACACAAGCATAATAAAAAAATTAGAAAAATAAATCAAATAATAAGGTAATAAATAAATAAATTAAAAGAGTTAGTTATATTGATTTAAATTCATTTTCATATTAAAAATGTCACAATTAAAAACAAATAAACTTATTTTACCTAAGATCAAGAGTCAAATGTGAGAGATTAGTGCATTTTCTTATACCAGAACTTAAGCTTGATGCACCTTCATCATCAATTTAATTTTTACTTTTTAAATATTGAGGAAAAAGTATCGTTAATTGGTTAGTTAGAAGGAAAAAATGCAGAAAAAATATGAAATAAGAAGAAATGAACTAATTAACTAATAAAAGCAAAAGTTTGAGATGAACAAATCAGTTAAAGAAAGAAAAAACACAATAAAAATATAAGAAAAATATATCAAATAAAAAGCAATAAATAAACTTAAAGAATTAGTTTTATTATTTCAAATTCATTTTTGTATTAAAAAATTAACAATCCAATAAAATTAACTGTTTTTACAAAAGATGGAGTATCAAATTTGAGAGATTAGTGCACTTTCCTAAACCAGAAATCAAGCCTGATAAACCAACTGTACCAATTTAATTATAACTTTTTAGATATTGAAGAACAAATAAATTGTTAATTAGTTAGTAAGAAAGAAAATTAAAGAAAAAATATGAAATTAATTAATTGATAATAAAAGCAAAAGTTGAGATAAAAATCAGTTAAGTCAACAAAAAAAGAAAGAAAGAAAGAAAGAAAAACATAAACACAATAAAAAATGAAAAATATATCAAATAAAAAGCTAATAAATAAATAAATTAAAAGAGTTAGTTATATTATTTTAAATTCATTTTTATAAAAAAAATAACAATCTAAAACCAATAAGATGTTTTTACCTAAGGTGAAGTGCTAAATTTGAAAGATTATTGGACTTTCCTAAACCAGAACCTAAGCCTGATGTACCTTCATCACCAATAAAATTTTCACTTTTTAAATAATGAAGAAAAAAAAAATATAGTTACTAATTAATTATCTAAAAGTAAAAATAACATATAATAAAATAAAATGAATAAATTGATAATAAAAGCAAAAGTTCAAAATAAAAAAATGAGTTAGAAAAAAAAACACAAGCAGAATATAAAAAAAAATCAAATAAAAGGCTAATTATAATTAAATTTTAATAGTAAGTTAAATTGATTTAAATTCATATTTATATTTCCAAAATGTCACAATCCAAAATAATTAAACCGTTTTTACTGAAGTTTAAGTGTCAAATTTGAGAGATTAGTGCACTTTCCTAAACCAGAGCCTAAATCTGATGCACCAATTGCACCAATTTCATTACATCTTTTTAAATATTGAAGAAAAATGATATAGTTAATTAGTTAGTTAGTTAGTTAGTTAGTTAGTTAGTTAGTTAGTTAGTTAGTTAGTTAGTTAGTTAGTTAGTTAGTTAGTTAGTTAGTTAGTTAGAAAGAAGGAAGGAAGGAAGGAAGGAAGGAAAAATAAAGAAAAAATATGAAATAATAAGAAAAGAGTTAATTTATTAATTAAATAATAATAAAAGCAAAAGATGGAATTGAAAAAATGAATTAATTTAACAAAGAAAGAAAACATAAAATAAACAAATTAAAAAAAGAAAAATAAATCAAATAAAAAGCTAATAAATAAATTTTAATAATTAGTTATATAGCTTTAAATTCATTTTTATATTAAAAATGATCGAAATCCAAAACAAATAAACTGTTTTTACCCTAGATCAAGCGTCAAATTTGAAAGATTAGTGTACTTTCTTAAACCAGAACCTAAGCCTGATGTACCTTCATCACTAATTTAATTTCCACTTTTTAAATATTGAAGAAAAAATATATCATTAAATAGTTAGTTAATTAGAAGGAAAAAATGAAGAAGAAAAAAAGCAAAAGCACAGTAAAAAAAGAAAAATTAATAAAATAAAAATCTAATAAATAAATTAAAATAGTTAGCTATATTGTTTTCAATTTATTTTTCACAATCCAAAACAAATAAACTTCTTTTTACTGAAGAAGAAGTATCAAATTTGAGAGATTAGTGCACTTTCCTAAACCAAAACCTAAGCATGATGCACCCTCATTACCAATTAAATTCGTACTTTTTAGATATTAAAGAAAAAATAAAGAGTAATCAATTAGTTAGTTTGAAGGAAAAAATGAAGAAAAAATATAAAATAATAAGAAATTAATTTATAATAAAATCAAGCACACTAAAAAAAAAGAAAAATAATCAGATAAAAAGCTAATAAATAAATTCAAGAGTTATTTTTGTGATTTAAATTCATATTTATATTAAAAAATATCACAATTCAAAACAAATAAACTGTTTTTACTGAAGATCAAGTGTCAAATTTATCATATTAGCGCACTTTCCTAAACTATTACTTAAGCCGGATACGCCTTCATCACCAATTTAATTTTCACTTTTTAAATATTGAAGAAAAAATATATCCTTATTTGTTAATTAGAAGGAAAAAATGAAGAAAAAATATGAAATAATAAGGGATACATTAATAAAAGCAAAAGTTGAAAATCAAAAAACAAGTTAAATTAACAAAAATATAAGAAAAAAAATATAACCACAATAAAAAAATAATACAAAAATAAATAAATAAATAAAATAAAAACTAATAAATAAATTAAAAGAGTTAGTTATTTTACTTTAAATTCATTTTTTTTAATTCAAAAATAAATATCACAATTCAAAATAAATAAGTTATTTTTACTGAAGTTCAAGCGTTAAATTTGAGAGATTAGTACACTTTTCTAAGCCAGAGCTTAACCCTAATACACCTTCATCACTAATTTCATTTTAACTTTATAAATATTGAAGAAAAAGTAAATAGTTAATTAGTAAGTTAGAAGGAAAATATTAATAAAAGCAAAAGTTGAAAATGATAAAATGAGTTAAATTATTAACAAACAAAGAAATAAAAAAAAATAAAAAAACACAAGCACAATAAAAAGAAAAATAAATATATCAAATAAAGGGCAAAAAAATAAATTTAAAGAGTAAGTTTTTTTGTTTTAAATTCATTTTATATTAAAAAATATCACAATCCAAAACAAATAAGTTATTTATACCCAAGATCAAGTGTCAAATTTGAGATGTTAGTGAACTTTGCTAAACCAAAACCTAATTATAATGCACCTTCATCATCAATTTCATTTTAACTTTTTAAATATTGAAGAAAAAATAAATAGGTAGGCAATTAATTAGTTATTTAGATGTAAAAAATATGAAAATAAAAGAATGAACAATTTATAATCATTGTCAAAATTGAGTTAAAATTAAATTAAAAATAAAAATGAATTAATTTTGATGAAAATTTCAATGAGAAAAAATTTTTTGTAAACTAAGTAAAAAAACATTAATAATAATAATAATATTACCCCTCAAAATGAATATGGAAAACCTAATGCATTTAAAGTGAAGAGTTTTAAAACTTTTTTATTAATAAAAAAAATTAAAGCAATATTAATAAAAAAATGAATATTTACTTCTTCTATATTCTTAAAAAAATATTTCTATTATATCATTTATTTATTTTTTCTTCAAAAATATTTAATTGCAATTTATGGAAATTTAATTAATTAGAAGTTTATTAATAATTTAATTTAATTATAAATCAAATTAATTTGGATAAAAAGAAAAAATCAATTATCTTAATTATCAAATACAAATTTATAAATTTGCTTTTAGGAAGGGATATCAAAAAAATAATAAGTGTAACATTCATTATTAAATTTTAATACTTTTATTTAAAACATATTCTTAAAAATATATCAAGAATCAAATAAGGGTGGATGGATATTCATATACTGTAAATGCTCATTAATTAAGGCATTCCCCAAGTATCTTTTTTGCCCAAAAAAAAGTGCCACTTATTTTTATTTATTTTTAATTTATTATTTTATAAATACTTATCATTACTTCTACTTTTATATATATATAATTACAGATAATAATTTTTTTAAAAGAATAATTACCATATTTTTGTTATTGTTTTAATTTTTATGTTTGTATTCATTGATTGAAATAATAAACTTACTCAAAACTTAAGAAATCAAAAGACTAAATTTGATTTATTGGTATTTTTTAATCAGTAAATATTTAGATACTTTTATATCATTATCTTAGCTTATTATCTTGAATTTATTTATTTATCTAACTAAGATAAAAATATATAACAAATTTTTAATTAAATTTTAGGTTTTAGATATTAATTAACATGTTAAGACAATAATCACAAAACGAATAAATCTTTTTATATAAGAAAATTTTTGACTCGCATAAAATTAACCATAATTAATATCTTTTGATAAACAAAAAAAATTATGTTTATTTTTTTCACTTTTATTTTTAAATGATGAGATCAATTAAAACTTTTTAAATAAATATCATTGGTAGAATTTAATTTATTTAAATTGAAAAGAAGGGCAACTATTCTATACGTAAACAACTATTTTAATTTTAAAAAACGATATCCTCTTTAACTATGATCAATATTTTTATGATTGTTTAATAATAGCAAACCTCTCATAATATTATTAATACACTATAACTTGTAATAAAAAGGTATTATATAAATAAGTAATAAAAGTTCTTATTCACTTTACATAATAAAAAATTTCTGACAATAAATTAGCAAGTATTTAAATTGAAATAAAAAAATTTAAAACATTACTAAAACTACAGAAAGAACTGATATAAAAATAAATATAAATGAAGATATTCATATGAATCAAAAAGATTAAAGTAATATCAATAAAGAAGTTTAGTAAAAAAAGAATAGATCTATAAAATTATATTGAATATTCCATCCATGTATTTTAATAAATTTATTTTTTAGCTTAAATTTAATACATTTATTTAGAGGCATATTTTATACCTTAATAAATAAAATAATTGCATTAAATCTCTCTTAAAATATTATTATTTTTTGAATTTTAATAATATACAAATAATAATAAGACTTTCAATTAACTAACTAGGCAAGATTTTATATTTTTAATAAAACTGAATACATTACTGAAAATTTATCGTAGAATAAATCTTTTTTAACATAATTTAAAAAATAAAAATAAATATTTATAAGTTTCACTGATTGTATTGTTTTATTTAAATTCAGTCAATTTTTTTACATATATTCAAGGAAGAAAACTTAATATTAATTAATTGATCAACAAAAATCTAACAAAAAGCTCACTAGCTACTTTTCTCATAAAATTTGTTAATTAAATTTAAAAATCTTTAAAAATAAGTGTAAGTAGATAAAATCCAAAGCTTAATTTTAAAACAAATTTTAGACTCCTCTGTTGAAAGGCTACTATAAAATATTAAAAGATGTTATATTTAGGTTCCAAGAAAGTTTTTAATCCTGCAGTAAAAACTAAAAATAGTTTTTTTAATAGATTAATTGTGATTTGCATAAAATTAGGAGTAATATTCATTGGTAATGCAGATTGAGAAAGAAGAGGAATTTCAGAAAAAGCGCAAAGAAGAAGGAAATATCTCTTTTTCATTAACATTAGCGAAGTAATTTAACAAACATATTGATTGATATTATGGAGATTTATTGATTTATTAAGTCATCAACTAGATGTGTTTGTTTAGCAAATGAATTAAGTAAATAATTTTAATATTTATTAGATACATGAGTGTAACAGGATTAGGAGATATATTTATTGCAATAAACTCTCTATTGAGCTTAGTCTATGTTATAAATCATGCAGTTGACACATATAGTTGGCCAGTTACGAATATTACCTCTTCTTATTAAACACCAAAAGCTATAGTTATTATTGAAATCATTTTAGACGTTTTCTTTTTTATTGATTTTTTGATAAACTTCTATATATCAGAAAACAGAGTAATTCTTTAGATTTATTTATAGATTTCGCATTCAAATAACGAGTAGTTCTTAGAGTGATTTTAAATATTTAAATTAAAAAAGCTATTCTTTACATTTTAATATAATTCCATCCTTGAGTACACAAGTGTAATTCCTAGTTTGCTAGTCAGGATGAGTTTAATCCCAAGCAACAAAGTAAAATCTTTGACATTTCTTTTCAAATTAATATAAATACATTTTCTAATTTAAACGTCTATAGTATGCTTTTGTAACAAGAGCTCTCAGGTTCTTACTGATAATAAGAGTAATTAATAAATTAATCAATTGATTTAGAGCATTAAAAAAGATTGGTGAATTTTTTTTTTGAAATAAAAGATTGAAAGCATTCTATCTAGAAGAGCTAAAGACATCACTAGAAATACATTTAAGATACTATTTACCATTCTAAGCATTATGATTGAAGCAAGTAGCTTTTTAATGGTAGTTGAGCAAGATTAAGGTTAAAAATTATTTTTAAAATAGAAATTAGATTTGTTTTTCTATAAAAAAAGGTTTATTTTTCCATGATTTTTTGTATTTCATGGTTGTTACAATGACAACTGTAGGATTTGGAGACATTTATCCATAAACAATATTTGGTCGTTTAATTGTTATAGTTTCTATTTTGATTCTATTGGCTCTTATACCCGCTTAAGTAGATTAACTTACAAAGTCAATAAAATAAACAAGTGGGTACTCAAGCAAAAAGCTGACATAGAAGAGAGGATGTAATGAACATATTCTAATCCTTGGGAATGCTTTGGTTGAGGGATATAAAGTAATAAAAAATAAAAACTTTTTCTATCATATTTATCTAATTTAGATTATATTTCTTAATAGACTTTCTTATCTGAACTTTATCATTAAGATCATGGCATAGTTTAATTTCCTTCTGTAATCATGAAGAATTAACATCCAAGTGAGGATATGCTTAAACTATTGCAAAAGAATAGCTTTTAAACAAATTTGACTTATTTATTTGGAAATCCTTTAAGTAACAACGATCTAAAAAGGGCTTAAGCAGAAAATGCCTAATGTGTTGTAATCTTAGCTGATAAAATGACAAGTGATCCTTAACAAGAAGATCACAGAAATATAATGTACACCTTAGCAGTAAAACAGTACGTCTATAACACGGCCAAAACCGATATTAGAGTCTGTCTTCAATTACTAAACCCTGAGTTAAAAGACATTTATTTTGAATCTTTGGATTATGGTTAAATTGATTAAGTAAATAACAACAAATAAAAAAATAAAAATTATTTTAAATAAATTTAAAAACTTATTTTTTTTTATGAGACCCAATGGATTTGAATCGCAATTTATTTTTATATTTAATTTATGAAAAATATAGAAAAATTCCTCTTAAATAAGATTTAAGTAGAGCTTTTATCATACCCACAAATTCAAAGATTTATTTTCCAAATTATAATAAGAAAAAGGAATAGTCATTTAATATGTAATGATTGAGATAATATATTTTTAACAAATTTCAATCAAATAGAGATTATTTTTTTTAAACATTAAGAAAATACTTAAAAAATAAAAATATTTGCTTGTTTGTTTATTAATCATTTTTCGAAACAATAATTAAAAATGTTAAATAAAGGTAATTTGCGTTGATGAGCTAAAATTGTATCTACTTGCCAAAACATGTTAATGCCCAGGTATAAATACAATAATCAGCTTTCTTATAACTTCTGATAAACCAGATGTTTCAGTAGTAGATAAAAGAGACGAAGACAGCTGGATAAATGATTATATTATGGGCATGCAAAATGAAATTTATAGAGTTCATCTTGATCAGTAGAATTTTTCTGGTTACACTTTTTGTACAGTTTCTTAGTAGATTTTCAAAGTAATTAATATCTTTAATTTCATCAAAAATTTTAATGTTTTAAATAAATAAAAGGAACTTGGAATAATTTTATTCGCTCTGGAAGTAAAAGTATATGGAGAAACCAAGTTATTTATAAATCCTGCTGATTATTTAATATAAGACTCTGAGCATTATGGGTATGTTATTGCATCATAATTGCCTAACTAAAAAGACTTATAAAAAGTTAGGATTGATTCCAGCATACCTAGAAGTAACTACCAACATAAATTTATATTCATTAATTAGCTTATTTAAATAATCTCTAATTTACATTTTAATTGTTATTATTTAGACCATAGTTATCCAAATGTACCCAAGCAAGTACCTGGAACTTCTAATCTGAAAGAAATCATAACAAATGATAAAGATTCGAAATACAGAGTATCTATCTATCTATCCTATTAAAATCCTAAAATAAATAAAAATTTTTTTAATAAATAAATAAAAAAGGCATTTTACTAGAATAGAACAAGGATTTAAACTTTACAATTAAACCATAATACAGATAAAAAGTTTGAAAACCACTATATAGTTTGTGGGATTGTTTCAGGAATGAAACATTTACTAATGCCATTAAGAGCAAGATCTTTAAAAACAATTAACCCTATTATTATTCTTAATAACGAAACCATGCCTTCAGAGCTATGGAATCAAATAAATAGCTTCCCTAAAGTATATTTTTTATAAGGTTCTCCTCTAAAATAAGAAGATTTAGAAAGAGCATGTGTAAAAAAAGCACTTGCACTAGTTATCCTCTCAAAACCAAGGGAAAAATAATCAGATAGTTCTGGGTAATTATTTAAATAAACAAAGAAATTTAGTTAAATATATTTAAATTTAAAAATAATCATTAAATTAATCACCTTAATTTTTCACTCGCCAACAAAATAACAAAATAAATTATTTTCTACATAAAAATTTATTTTTTAAGAAAAAATTATTCAATAATTAAAAAATTTATTTGATATTTAAATTAAAAGTATGGTAGATGCTGATACTATTTTTATCTATAAGACTGTAAAATTTTTGAATCCAAATATACAGATTATTACTGAATTAGCTTCAATGGCTACTATCTCCTTTTTAAGTTAGTCTAAAAATAGCTATATAAAAGAAATTGGTTATATAGCAAGTGAACCTTTCGCCTCTGGAGAAATTTATATATCAACTATGTTAGATACATTGATCTGTCAGGCTTATTACAACCCCTTTATCATTAATATACTTGATTAGCTAATCATGGGAGGAGCATCTAGAAATATAAAAATAAAAAAAATATGCAATATACTAAGATTGCAATCAGCTAATCTATTTTTAATAGACATTCCTCCACAGTTTTCAGGATAAAATTTTGGAGTATTCTATATTAATATTTAAAGAATAAAAAAAATACTTATTTTAATTATATTCTAAAAGCAAATATACAAGTCATTTGTCATTGAATATAAAATGATACCAATCGGTCTTTACAGAGGTATAAATGCCAACAAAGTAAATAAATATATTTTGTACACAAAATCAATAAATTATTTATTTAACACATAAATAGAATAATAAACCATATGTATTTTTAAAACCTTCAGCCGATGTAAAAACATCTCCTAAAGATAAGGTCTATGTTCTTTCTATAAAGTAACCAAAAGAATGTAATTAAAGTTCATAAAAATCGTTAAACTGATTTAGAATTTTAAAAAGAAAAAATAGACATAGAAGAAGGAAGCTAATTTCAGCAGTAGCAACAACAATAACAACAGCAATATCCAAACATGAACCTCAAAAGTAAATTGGTAATAAATAATTAAATCAATATCTTTTTCTAATACTGTTTTTAATTTTTAAATTCATGTTTTTATAAATTCAAATACTTTTTAAGTTGCTTTCTTGCTTGCTTGCTTGATTACTTAACTTTACTCAATTTGTTTTGTTTTTTTTTATTAAAATAAAAAGTAAGGAGAAGAAGGAAGAATAGATGTTGACATTTCAAGAAATGTGTTTAAATTAAGTGGTGAGATGGATGGTTTTATTAATGATTTAAAATTGATAAATGAATCAACTTTTCATAAAAACTTAGCAAGCCCTGGTAATTAATTTCTTGCTTCTATAATTTATTTTAATAAGCAAATTTATAATAAAATTTTTCAAATAAATTAAAATTAGATTTAATACCTTAAATTAGATAAATTTTTAAGCAAGAAATATCTAACATCAACTACTCTTAATGAGTCAATAACTGAAAGAATGTGCTTTAATTTAATTAAATGCAATGATTTTCCAAATAAACTATATAAAAACATAAAAAATAAATTAATCAACCTAAGAAATCTTCTTATTTATAAAATATTTTAAATAATTTTTAAATTAAAATCTCTCAAAATATATAATTTGTTTTTGTTTGTTATTATTGGAAAATTTTGTGCTTAATTAAAAACAAATAGTTGAAGAAGTGTAATTTGTAGAAGTATTTTGAAGAAAAGAACTATATAAATATATATATATTTATCTATTTTGATTGATATTTTGATATATTTTTCTTAATTCATTTTTTGAAATAGAAACTAAAGAAATTAATGCAAATTAATCTGAAAAATTTCTAAAATTTAGTTTCCAAAAATACTTATAAAGTGATCAGACATTTAAAATAAATCTCCAGTAACAAAATATATCATCAAATAACGAATTTAAAACATGATTTACAAAGGATCGAAGAAAATATTTAATAGCATGGTATGAAAATAATTTAAAAATAAATGCAGAGAATAATCAAACATTATTCAATTAGGAATAATATTAATTAATCAGATAGATAGAAAAAGAAGATGAAGTCCCGTCAAAAAAGACTGAAGAGGCAAAAATTTCATTACCTATCAAGCTAGCTAAGTAAAATTTATTATTTCTTTAGTTAACCCTTTAGATGCCTTAAATATAAACTCTTAATTTGAAAAAATATCATTAATAGTAAATTATTTTTTATTATAACAGGTATTTAAGTGTATCAGGATTTGGAGATCTTTTATTAGCAATAAAATCATTGTTGTCTTTATTTTATGTGATAAACCATGCAGTTGACACATACAGCTGGCCATCATCGAGTATTAATGCGGCCAATTATTAAACAGACAATACTATTGTGATTTTAGAAATTATTATGGATATTTTATTTTTATTAGATTTTTTGATCAACTTCTACATATCTGAAAATAGAGTAAATAGTATTTACAATTCAAAAGAGTTTTTTAAAGTTATTATTTTAATTTCCCAAACATAATAAATAGCTTTATTATATTTTTTCATACTTATCTATTTTGGAATATGTCAGCATTCTTCCATCTCTCTTCGTCAGAGTAGGCTTCTATCCAGGCAATAAAGTATATATTTATTTATTTATTCTATCAAAAAATGCTAAAGAGTTAAATTAAAACTCATTTTAAAATAATTAAAAAGTATGCATTCGTTACAAGAGCTTTAATGTTTCTACAAATAACAAGAGTAAACAATTTTTAATTAAATTTTATCTGATGTTTCTTTTCTTATTATCAGATGGAAAGTTTTTTTTCTCGGAGAGCTACAGAAGTCTCTAAAAACATGTTTAAGATTTTGTTTACATTATTGAGTGTTATGGTTGAAGCAAGCAGTTTTCTAATCGTAGTTGAATAAGATTAAAGTAAAATGTTTATCATTAGTATTTTAAAAAATACTTAGATATTATTTTTATTAAGGTCAAAGCTTTCATGATTTCTTGTATTTTATGGTAGTAACTATCACTACAGTTGGATATGGTGACATAGTTCCTTAAACAATATTAGGTAGGATGATAGTAATAGTTTCTATCTTAATTCTTCTTTCTCTTATTCCTGCTTAAGTTGATTCTCTAACAAAATCAATAAGACAAACTAGTAAATACAAAACTGTGAAATTTATTAAGAAGCATTCCAGTATCAACCATATAATTATTCTTGGTAATGCTTAGGTTGAGGGTTATAAAGTAAATTAATTATTACTTCAAAAACACCAAAAAAACTATATTTCGTTTTAGACTTTTCTACAGGAATTATACCATTAAGATCATGGAATTTCAGAAATACCTTCAGTGATTATGAAAAACTAGCATCCTAGTGAAGAAATGTTGAAACTTTTGCAAAGAAATAATTTATCAAATTAATTAACTTATCTGTATGGAAATCCTCTCAACATAGAAGATTTAAAAAGGGCTCAAGTAGAATAAGCTTAATGCGTTATTATTCTAGCTGATAAAATGACTAACGATCATGAATCAGAAGACCACAGAAATATAATGTATACTTTGGCAGTTAAATAATACGTCCAAAACATAACTAAAAGCGATATAAGAGTTTGCTTGCAGCTTCTAAAACCATAAATTAAAGACATTTATTATTAATCAATAGACTATGGTTATATTGATCAGGTATTTATTTAATTCAAAAATATTTAATCTAAACAATAATAAATAAATCTTCAAAAAGCATATTTTAATCAATTAATTAATTAATTAATTAGTATTTTTATAGAAGATATTTTTCTAAGAAAAATAATTAAAATAATAATCTAAAATGAGAATTATTTTTTTATTTTGATAGGTTTTTGTAAATCTGTATGTAAAAAATCTTTATTTCAAAAAATTGAAAATAGAATATTTTACTTATAAAAAATGAATAGGTTATTTGTGTTGATGAGTTAAAATTATACCTTCTGGCTAAGACATGTTTATGCCCTGGCATAAATACAATAATAAGCTTTCTTATAGCTTCTGATAAACCAGATACTAGTGTAGTTGAAAAGAAAGATGAAGATAGCTGGATAAATGACTACATAGAAGGCATGCAAAATGAAATTTACAGAATTAGTTTAGATCCAAAAATATTCTCAGGTTACACTTTCAATATTGTGTCTTAGCACATATTCAGAGTAAAATTATTTTGTTTTAGCAATAAAAGAGCTTAATTGACATTTGTAAATTTTTAGCAACTTGGAATTATTTTATTTGCCCTAGAAGTAAAAGTTCTCGATGAAACGAAACTATTTATTAACCCTGCCGATTACCTGATTTAGGATATTGAGTATTATGGTTATGTCATAGCTTCACAGTAGCCAAATAATAAAGATATTTAAAAAGTTAAAATTGAGTCAAGTATACCAAGAAGTATTTATTTAATATTTAATAAATGAAAGAGATAAATTTATTTAAATTAATAATTTAGATCATAATTATCCAACTGTTCCAAAATAAATGCCTGGAACCAGCTACCTAAAAGATATAATCACAAATGAAAAAAGCTAAAAATATAATGTAAATTCAATATTTTTTAAATAAAACCTTAAAGGATAAATAATCAATCTTTAATCACAAATTAATTGATAAAAGGCATTTTACCAGAATAAAGTCGGAATCTAAAATTTGTAACTAACTCAATACACAGAAAGAAGGTTTGAAAATCATTACATAGTATGTGGCTTTGTTTCAGGATTAAAGTATCTTCTTATGCCTCTTAGAGCAAGGTCTTTAAAAACAATTCATCCTATTGTTATAATAAATAATGAAACAATACCCTCAGAATTGTGGAACTAAATTAATACTTTTCCTAAAGTATATTTTATGTTAGGATCACCTTTGAAACAAGAAGACTTGGAGAGAGCTTGTGTTAAGAAAGCTCTAGCTCTAGTCATTCTTTCTAAACCAAGAGAAAAGCAAACAGAAAATTCTGGGTAATTAATTTGTTATATATAATTATTTAAATATTATAATAGTTATTGTACGAACGGCTTATGCTAATGTTTATCATAGCATTCAATTCCCAAATCTATATCTAAATATTTTAAATACTCAATAAAAAATTATCAAAAAAAATAATTTAGATAAATTTATTTTAAACAGTTTAAGCTAGCTTAATAATTTAGATTAGATTGAATAAAATAATTTTTTTATTTGAATTATTTATTAATGTAAAATTTCGATTGTTAAGTTTTTATTCTAAAATTTTTATTTTCTTTCCAAAAAATTATTTGAAAATTTAAAAAAAAATATCTTCAATTTTTATAATTAATTAATTAAACAGTATGGTAGATGCAGACACAATATTTATATATAAAACTGTAAAATATATGAACCCAAATATCTAAATAATTACTGAACTGGCTTAATTAACTGCTATTTCATTTATTAGCTAAACAAAAAATTCATATGTGAAGCAAATTGGATATTTAGCGAGTGAGCCATTTGCATCAGGAGAAATTTACATCTCAACAATGCTAGACACTTTAATATGTTAAGCCTATTATAATCCATTCATTATTAACATATTAGATTAGTTAATTATGGGAGGAGCAACTCACAATCCAAAATTCAAAAAAATATACAACAATTTAAGACTACATTCTGCTAATATATTCCTTATAGATATACCTTTATAATATGAAAGCTACACATTTGGAGTATTTTTTACTTTACTTTATTTAGTAAATTTTAAAGAGTATTTTATACTTATTTATTTAGTAAATTTTTGATGTGTTTATTTCTGTACATAAAATGATTCCTATAGGATTGTACAAAGCTGCTAATACAAACAATGTAAGTCCTTACTTGTTAAAGCTTTTTGAAATATAGTTTTTTAAAAATAATTTTTATTTAATAAAAGAATTCTAAACCATATGTATTTCTGAAACCTTCTGCTGACTCTAAAACAAACCCTAAGGATAAAATATATGTACTTTCTATAAAATAACCAAAATATGAAAGTAAAATACAATTTAATAGTAATTTTATTTATAAACTAAAACATTTAATTTTAAATAAAGCTGATTCATATTAAGTGGAAAATAATTTATTCTAAAATTAGTAATAATTTACAGGCATCAACATCAAAAGCAAGCTGGTATAAATAAATTTATCATTAAATAGGAGTTATTAAAGTGATTTATTTATATAATGCATTATCTTTTTAAAAACATAATAGTAAGGAGATGATGGGAGGATAGATATGGAAATAGCAAGATCTATTTTTAAAATAAGTAATGAGATAGAAGGTTTGTAAAGTGACTTGTCTCAATTAAATTAATAGAATTTCTTTAAAAACTTAACAAACAGAAGTATTTATTTTTAAGATAAATTTGTAGATTTCACTTTTATTAAAAAATTAAATAAACAAATAGATTTTATTCCATCAATAAGGTCAGTAGTGAAGAAAGAGATATCAAATATTCATTTAAATTCTTGAAAATCTATCTAAAATATTACTTACTTACTTACTTTTAATATTACAAAACATAAAAACAGATATCAAATATCCATTTAAATTCTGGAAAAATCTATCTAAAATATTATTTACTTACTTTTAATATTACAAAACATAAAAACAAAAATTATTTCAAATATTTAAAAATTAATTAGCTATAAATAAAAATATTAAATTGATAATGAATTTATTTTATTTTAAAAGTTCTTTGAAATAATTAATTTACTCTTTAAAACAACTTTTAAAGAATGAAAAAACAATCTTAAATTTTTTTGTTTATAAAAAGTAAATATTTATTTTCTCATTCAAAAAAATGTACTATATCAATTTTAAAAATATTTTTAAGTATTAATTAATTAGTTTCTAATTTGTAATTTGATTTCTATGATAAATTAAATAAATAATTAAGTAAATGTGTCTATTTATATTAAAGTTACCATATCAAAAAATTGTATTAAATTGTTTTTTTTGTATAGTTATTAGATATTATTTAGTATTTTAAATAAATTGATTGGGTGGATTTTAATTGAATATTAGTTGATGCTTTAAGAGGAAATAATTTTATATGTCAATTTTATTTTAAGCTAAAGTAGTAGTAAAAATTTAAGATGATTTTGTTATAGAATGGAACTTTGAAGGTTGATTTAATTGTATGGTATTTTAAGAAATATTTTTTAAGTAAATTAAATGAAAAGTAGTGTAGAATTTATTAGGGATATTAAAGAAAAAAATAGCGAAATATATTTCAATTTATAAAATTGATAAAAATATGTTTCCATTGAAAGTTTATTATGCTTGCTCAATAAGCTTAGTTAGGGGAGCAGCATATGGTTATCTAGGCATTAATTTAATAGATTTAAGCTTGAAATTCTAAAAGGACTAATCAGAATATTCAGATCTTGAATAAGAATGTTAGCACTAAATTAGTTGGGTGATAGGATTGGCGATAATTATGCTATTTGGATCAATTACTAATATTTTTACAGCAGGAGTTATGGCTAAATTATTTGATATGCAAGATTATATTCCCTATCGATTTTAAAAGCTGATTAATCATTCTGATTTTTGCTTTTCTGTTGTAGTTTTGGTTTTTTCATTTTTTATGCTTGTTGGATATGATGAAAATTGTGGTAGATTTTCTGTCCTAGTTCACTTTTATTTACTGTTTTTTTGGATACCTATCTCTTTTTTTGCTTCACTAATAGGGATTTATATTATTTTTAAATGCGATTACGGACCTATTTTCTATGAATTACAATATGCTACAGAACAGGAATTAACTACAACATTCGGGCAGTGGTCTACAATATGAAAGGATATTCAATTAAAAATATTGATAAAAAATTACAAATAAATACTTTTCAAAAAAAATAATTAATATAGATAGCTATGAGCTATTATTTAAATATTAAATCAAATTACCATCAATAGAAATTATAAGTTATTGATATAGATGGTCGATTAAGCATTTAAGACAAAAATATATAAAAAAGGGCATACTTTTAAATTAAATTAAAGCTATTTTAAATAACATAGTTAATTAGCTTGACTTAAAGAGATAGAAGTAACAAATAAAATAATTTTTTCATTAATTAATAAAAGATCAAATTTATCGAAATAAAAGTAGAATAAATTAATTATATTTCATAAAATTATTAAATATTAATTTTATCAAATTATAGATAACTAACTAACTACCTAAATTACAAATGCTTTAGGTAGCATATCTAATCAAAATATTGTATCAAATAATTATCATATCTTATTATTGCTAATTTATATCTTAATTACATTTATTTATTGAATACATTTTTTTCAATTTAAAAAATAACTTTTTAATGACTTTTATTTCATCCATTAATATAAATTAAAGTCAATTTTATATATATTATCAGCAGCTTTTGCTATCTAAATTTTTGAGCAATTTATTGATCTTTATTAAAAAATAAATATAAAAAAATAATTTTGATTTCTTGTAAATAATAACATTTTGAGTTGAGTATTTCATTATCAAATATTTAAATTTTGTTTTAAATTAAAAACGTAAAAGCATGTTTCTAAAAGAAAATGAAATCTACCAAGTCAAAGAATTTAATCATAAAATAAATATTATAGAATTTTGAGTAAAATATTAGATTTTCTCTAAAAAATTCAAGTAAAATTCTTAATTATTAGATTTAATGCGTTTTATCTATTTTCATTTTGGGATCGTTTTAGAAAACTTTCTAATAATATTCAAGTAATTTAATCAAATTAAATATAAACATTAATTATATCATTAGGAATCAAATAATCAATCAAATTATTTGTTTAGAAATAGCTCAAATATTATGAATTTGAAATAAATTTTCTTTATAGTTTTCATAATTTCACTTGCCTCGTGCTAAGTTAAGTAGCTAGAAGATGAGTCAATTCAGTTTGATACTTAAAACCTTAACTTGAATTATCTTTAATCATCAACTATTAAACTCGTGGCTATTAAAAAAGGTGATAGCTTTTTAGTATAATAAAATGATGATAACAAGTACTCAGTCAATAAAAAGGAAGTCTGCGCAAGCATTGAATACTAAAAAACACTTAATGAAACAGGGTAAAAATTTTGAATTGTAATTTATATTTAATATTCTTTACTAATAAATTCAACAATAAATATCTAGATGGGATGTCATATTTTTAGATACAAATTAATCATTTAGTCCAGAAGAGTAGATGTAATGTGCTGGATTCTTAGAAGGTCTAGCTTCTAAATAAGCGATTGCTGACTTTTTGTTCAATATTTCATCCTAAAGAGGGTCAACAAAAGAATAATACAAAGCTTTTTTCACAAATGTGTACAATAATCTACTTTCTAAAGCAAATAATCCTCCTAAAAATACTGAACAATATTGGAATACAGTAAATCTATCTATCTATTTTATATTAATTTATTTAGATTAATAAATGTATTTTAATTTAGTGAAATTCTATTATCTAATATAATAAGGCTAAGTTGTTTTTGATACAATTAGTTGGTCTCAAAAACGGATACAATGCTTTAGAAAACAATGAAGACTCTAAACTCGAATTGTGGTAAATTTCTTTACCAAACATAGACGGATAAGCAGATGAAATAGATTAATTAATTGCTTCAGGCAGTTAGGAGTTAGGAGTTAACTAACAGCAAATATTAGTTCATCAAAAAGCTAAACTTAGAAGACACATTAATCATAAAAGAAAAAATTCTCTTTTTGAGTGGGAGCAGAATGCCATGCATTCTAGATGCTCTGCTTTCTTTAAAATCCTTACAGCAGAATAAGCAAATGGCGCTAAAATTTTAAAAGATATCTTTGCTTCTCATTCAACATGGGAGCCATTTTCTTCTATGAACAGAATCTACAAATTTTATAGGTTACCAAGTTTAATCAGTACACACTCTTGGGTTTAAATGTCAAGTTATCCAGGTAATTCAAATTTATTTCTTCTTCTAAAAGCTTTGTAAAATTATTATAAAAAACTAAAAATAATTTTTAAACTAATTAAAATTTGATAAGCTCAGTAATTAAAATAAAAAATTCATAATTAATTAATTATCTTTATGCTAAAATAATTCTAATGATTGATTATAAATATTAAGGGGCAATTACTTCTACAGATGACTTTATTGTTAAAGAAGGGAAGTTTTTAGTAACTGAAACATCAATTTCTTCTTAGAACAGAGACACTGTATCTTCTTTAAGGGCCATAGATGTTGATATTCCTGATTTTATTAGAGTTTAGACAGCCACTAGTCTTTCTTAATCTGGTGTAATTAAATTTAATACATTAATGATTTTTAATAATATTTTCTTACATTTTTATTAAATATAGATGCAATGGGCGGAATATATGTCAAAATACGGGGCAGTAAAAATGTACTCATCGGAGTGGATGATTCTAGATTATTCAAAACTTCAAAAAGGAAAAGAAATTCCAAACAACTCTTTTATTGTGTTATCATCTTCATATGAATAGCAAATAATTGAAGATAAAACTTAAGAGCTGATAGTAAAATCTTTTAAAATTGAATTATATTTAATTTATTTTAAAAAATCATATAGGACAATACATATTTTGCTTCTTTCAATAATCCTCATAATAAAATAATTAGAGATTACTTGGGTTACACGTAGGTTGAGTAATATAATGATCTTTTTAGTCTTAAATAAGATCCAAGAAACTTAATATTCAAGCATTTCCAAGCCAAAGCATAGTCAATTGAAAAAGTCAAATGGTTAATGCTCCATAACTCTTATAAAAAAAAACCTCTTGAGGGTGAACCCACATTTTAGTCTTCAGGTAAAAAATATAAAATTAGCTTAAATTAAATAATTTTTTTTAAATGAATAGTTGCTGCATTGGGTGCTCGTGGTGATATAGAAGGAGGATCTAATTTTGGAGAGGTAGATGTCAAAGTAGTTAACATAGATCTTCTAAAGAATTTTTCAGTTGAAGCTATCAGTGGTAATTTCAGTTTTTTAAAGTTGTTAGTTAGTTAGATATTTATGTTAAAAAACCAATTTACTAAATATAATAGGCCCTTCTCACTAAGAGCAGCCTGTATTTATTTGGAAATAAAATGATAATGATAGACATTAGGGATAACCAACTGCTTGGAATTTCGACTGGGGAACAATGTCTTTAAGTATGAAGAGCAGTTAGTGAGTAGTGAGTATAAAATCTTATAAATATTGATGAAAAAATTTTAATTGAATAAATTTCTTAAAAATACAATACATTTATTAAATAAGAAATTAATTTATTTTTGCTTATGTTTAAAGATTACTAATTTGTTTATAAAATTAATAAATCTATTTAAAATAAATTAAATCTCTTTTTGATTGAGAATATTTTATAATTTAAAAAAAATTATTTATAAACAAAGTAATTACTAACTAACTAATAGTTAAATTGCATTTTTAAAATATACCAACAAAGTCATTTAATAATATCATTTTTATGATTAAATTTGTATTTTGTTCTTAAGAAAAATCTAATATATTATGATTAAATTAATTTTTCACCAAAAGTTAATTTTATGGAGAGTATTTAAAAAATAAATTATATTTATTTTATATAATTTTTTTAGAAAAAAAAAAAAACATTTTCAATTAACCAAACAAGAAAAACTAATAGCCATTAATTTTTTAAGAGTTTTAAGATTTTCAAAGTTTATCAAAAGCATAAAAAAATTTATTTTAATTTATTAAATTAGCATAAATGTTGATTAAATATGATGATTTATTTTATTTTTATGATAAAATTAGATTAAATTAACAAAAAAAAAAAATATCTTAAATAATATAAGCAAAATAATAATAAATATGAGCAATTGTTCTTAATAAAATATTTTTTGATGAGATTAAAATTAGAGTGAGAGAAGTTTTATTTTTTGAAAATTTAATAAAATACGCTTTAATTAAAGATATAATGTAGAAATATAGAAAATTTGTTTGATATTATAAATTAATCTTTATTTGCTTAAATAAAAGTAAGTCTTTCGTTTCAAATATTTGTGGCTCTTGTTAATACTTCTTGGAACTGGTCTCTGGTTACTACTCCTTCTCTTTATTTTAAATTTAAAAAATGCACAAATTAATTATGAAATCTTTACACTTAAGAATAAATTTTACTTTGTTGACTTATTTGCTTCTAAAATCATAAGCTTTAATTCATCATCGCTCATTGTTTCTCCTAATTCCATTGCAATTTCTTTAAGGTTGTCAAAAGTAATTGCTGTTGAATTATTTTTGGCAAACAAATTAAATGCTCTCTCTATTTCTGCATCTGATTCTTTTTCATTCTACATTTAATTAACTTTAATAAAAGTAAATGCTTATTTATTATTAATTACCATTTTGGCAGTCATAATCTAAAGAAATTCTGTATAATCTATAGTATTTTAATTTTCTTTTTCCTTCTATTCACTATTCAAATCAGAAACAAGTTTTTTGATTTCATCCTTTTTAGGCTCGAATCCCAATGCTCTTAATGCAACATTTAATTCCTTAATATCTATAGTACCTGTTTGTTTTAGATTTAAAATGTTTATAATTTCGATAATTTACTATTTAATCATTCTACCTGAACCATCAACATCAAACAAATCAAATGCTTCTTTAATGTCTTTTTTTTATTTTTCTGTCAATTCCTATCTAAAAGCCTCCTTACTCTTTAGCTTTTTATTACCCTTTGCTTTGTTATCTTTACCCTTTGAAAAATATTAGTAAAATCAATATCTTTTTCTTTTAAATATCAATTTACTTTAGCAATTGAAGCCATATCTATCTATCTAATTATTTTTAAATTCTCTTTGTTTCAAAACTTAATTTTAAAATACTAAAAAATATATAAACAAAAAATAGATAAGAGTTGTTTATTTGTTTGTTTGTTTGATTGACTGAATAATTAATTATTCATAGATTGGTAATTAAGATATAATATAACTACCTTTTTCTAAGCAACCAGAATATATTGAGATTTATTTATAAAATCTACCTATTTTTTTTACTTCAATTATTAAAGTTTTGTTTTTAAACAAAATTTCAAATAAATCAAACATTTAAAAACATAAAAAAATAAAATTCAAAACACTTCATAATACTATTTACTTTATTTATAAACTCTTTTTAGCTATGATTGGATGAATTTTTACTTAGAATTTTATTCTGTTTTATGTAAATAATTTTAATGTTGGCAAAATAAAATAATTAAAAGTTATTTTTAAATACTTTTTATTACTTTACATAAAAAAAGTTTGCAATTAAATTTATTTTACTTTCAAGTTTCTAAAAAGTGATTTTTGTAATGAAAAACATGATTTGAAAAAAAATAATTTAAATGGTGTTTAATTGTTTTGTAGTATTCCATTTTTAAAATAGAAATATGAAAAAAAAAATCGAAAAAGCCAATTAATTAATCCCTCCATAGTTTAAAATATAAGGTCAAAAGAGTAATGTTTTTATATGATTAAATCAAGTCAAAAAAAGCTAATAATATCGATAATTGAATGAATGAATGACTGTTATTTTGGAAACATTTTAGTATTTTTCTATGCATTTTTTAAATAAGATTTTTGTTTCAGATCAAAAAAATATTAAGGATTTGTATTTGTCATTTGTAAATTAGGAAATATCATACTAATAAATAAAGTAAAGGCGAAAAGAAATCTATACAGAAATTTTATTAAAAATTAATTAATTATTCAATCACTCATTAAAACTATAATTAAATTAACTTAAATTCAGGTTAAACATAGACATTAAACAGCATTTAAAGCCAGCAAATACCCAAAAAATTAATGATGGGAGATAAGCAAAGCTAGTAAGTTAGCATCTTTCTTCCTGAATAAAATGGATAAAACTTATACCATGATTAAAATTAGCCTTAAAATAAAAATATTGACAAGATTAGGCAACAAGAATCTACCTTTTCACCAAATAAAAAAATAGCAACAAGCGTAAAGCAATCTAATTTTAAAGGTGTAGAATAATCTAATATAGTTAGAACAGAAACTGGAATCAAGTAAAATGAAATTCTATTCACTGAACATTCTGGTGTTCCTCATCAAAATATAAAAAGCGGTGTATAAGATGAATAAAGAGAAAGAGCTGTCAATGTTAAATGTTTGAAAATTTAGAGAATGGAATATTTTATTTAGCAATTGCAGCTTTAACTTCTAAAAGAAAAGTTAAAATAGAGTTTCTTAAATGAGGCCGTGTTCTTTTTAGAAGTAAGCGTCTATAGTCTGAAAGGTTTGGGAGAATAAACATACAGGTTAAGGAGAATATATCAAGATTTTAAAACTTTAGAGAAAAATGTAAATAAAACAATTAACTGTCTGAATAATTAACTTACAAGATAATCTTTAAATTTAAATAAATAAAATAGCTAATATAGGAAAATAACACAAAAAAGCTTAATATGAACTTGCCACCATTTCCATTTTAGAAAGATCCAAAAAATTTATTTGATAAAGAAATCTTTTTGAAGGTAATCAATCAATCATTAATTCGTTAAATAAAATTTGAATATTCCCTTTACAATATTTATCTCAAATTAAATTAATAAAGCTGCAAATAAATTTTTTTGTAAGATTAATAAATAAATAAATTAAGAAATAGAAACTCTTCAATAAATTATCTACTTACATTCATTATTTATATATTATCAATAAAATAAATAAATAAATTAAGATAGGAGAGTATCTTTAAGTCTTGTGTCAGAATAGTAAAATTGTAGATACAGACACATTTTGGTAGTTTTTCGAAATATCAAGCAATTTTCATTAAGGAGTAGTAAAAGTAAAGGAGACTTTTATAAAAAAGAGGAGTGGTGGAAGATTTAAAAAGTAATGCAGAGGTTGCTGTCATACTTGGTCAGTTAGATATTTGGCTATTACTTCTGAAGGATTGATGTATTCTAAATGTAAAAACTTAATTATTTATTTTATATATTTATTCATGCATTCTTTCATATAAATTATTGGTGATTTCATTTTAATCTAAACAGCAAATAGAGGTTTAAACAGCAATATTAGAGAAATATTGTTGTTTGATCAAAATTTTAACATGGAATATGGAAAATTTTAAACTGGAAAAGAAATGGGTATTGTCATCACTACGTCTACAAGAAAAGTTAGATTAGAATGCTACTCTTAGTTTCATTTTTACGATGTCTTAGCTGCCTGTAAAGAAGCTATCTCCCTCTCTCCCTATATTGAAATTCATAGATTTGATTCTTTTGCACCAGAAAGAAAAGATGCTGAATGCAAATGGTTTGTAGATGGATTTGTAATTTTAATTTTAATAAAATATTAATTAATTCAAATTTTTTAATTGTTTGTTAGGATTATTTCAAAGACCTTTATTACGATTTAAAAAATGCTAAATCTAGCGTGTATATTACAGATTGGTGGCTTTCACCTGAAAATTATTTATTGAGACCTGTTGGTGAAGTAATTTTTCTAAAAAATGAATGTTTGAATTAATTAGAAATTAAGAAAGATATTTTAAAAGAATAAAAATTTATTTAAAAAGGTAACAAATCAAGAAAGTAGATTAGACAGAGTTTTATAAAGTTTAGGAGAAAAGGGAGTTAATATCATGATTATACTGTACAAAGAGCCAACAATAGCACTTACTTTAGATTCTGCTCATACTAAATAACACTTAAAATCATTAAGCAATAACATAGTAATTATGAGGCATCCAGATTATATTTTGCCTTTTTTGTGGTCTCACCATGAAAAAATGGTTATCATAGATCAGCAAATAGGTTATTTAGGAGGACTAGATTTGTGCTATGGAAGATTTGATACTCAAAATCATCATTTAAGCGATTTACCTGTCCCAGAATAAAATGAATAAATGGTATTTTTCCCAGGTAAAATTTGATTTATTTGTATAGAAATAAATTTTATCTCTATTTTAATTAGGAATTGATTATTCTAATGCACGTTAAAAAGATTTCGAAAATGTAAAAAATCATACAGTCAGTAACATTGACAGACAAAAACAAATTAGAATGCCATGGCATGATGTTGCAATGAAGGTTGTTGGAGAACCTGTTAAAGACATGGTTCGTCACTTCATACAATATTGGAATTTTTGCAAGGTAGAACAGAATATTTTTTTGAAATTCAAAATATAAACATTTTAAATTAATTTATCAAATTAATTAAATTATTAATTAATTAAAGGTGGATATTTACTCAAAAGATAAGAAAAATATTGCTTAAATTATTCCAAAAAAGCACAAGTAGCAAGAAGAAGATTAGAAAAATAAAAAACCATAGTTATCTAAAATGAGAAATAAATTGTAAGGTGTAATAAGCACGTTCACAAAAAAAATGAAAAATAAATTAAATCTTTTAGATTCTAATGATAAACTTAATAATTAATAAATGTAAAATGAAACTATGAAAGGCTAACCAGGATAACGTAGATTCATGTAATATTTAGCAGAACTTAAAAAAATTCCAAGTGAGAAAAATTTGTAAAATATAGAAAACTAAGATTAAGAGCAATAAAAATTAATTTAACCTGAAAAAAATAAAGATAATATTAGCAAGCATGAAAACACTCAACAATAGCAACAACAGCAACAACAACAACAACTTAACTATAATTCTAAGGATAAAAGAAATTCAATTAGAGATTCAGAAATAATAATTGATAAAGCCGATGTATTTGAATAAAAAATGTAAAAAATTAAAAAAACCTAAACAAATATTGCATTCATGATTGAAGAAATGTCAGAAGTAGATAGCGAAATACAAAGTAGCAAAATTAAAGTTCAATAATAACAGAATGCTCACTTGAAAGTAAATGCAGTACCAGAAAGTAAAAAAATTTCTATATTTTTGATTTCAATTTTATCAATAAATTATGAAAATGGCAATTAAGTTTTTTAATTATCAAATTTCCTTGGTTTTTTAAATGAAAATAACACAAATTCAAGTCTATCAAATCTTAATTTTATTTAATAAGCATATCATACATAATTAATTTTTGAAATAATCAATGGTGGGATTAGTGAAACAAATTTTAATTAAAACAATTAAACATTTAATTGTGAAAGCTAAAATTTTTAAAATTAAAAAATAAAAAATTTTTACTTACCCTCACCCCTTAATTACAGTTAATTAAAAAAATATGCTGAGCTGCAATAAATAAATTATTTTCTTTTTTAGAAATTTTTATTAAATACTTTAAAAAACTATTTTTATTTAATTATTTATAAAATTAAGGTATTTCAATTGAGTAAATGGAAGGAATAGAAGAATTTTTTGAAGGAGAAAATATTAATCCTATTATAAGATATAATAATAAAATGCCAAACTGTAGTAAATTAAAAATTTAAGAAATTAAAAATGAGTTAGAGCCAGAGGAACTATAAGTAGTATAGCTATAAAAGAAAGAGTCAAAAACATTAAAAAAGATTTTTGCAAGGAAAAAAAATAGAGCAGATAGTAATTCTGAAAAAGTTATAACTATTGGTATAAACTTGATAGAGAAAATAGACAATTTGACTGATGATGATGAAGAAATTAACTTCTTTCAATTCAATGGCAATGATTAAAATGTATAAATTTTATTATAATAATGTAATAAATAATATTTACTTCCTTCTAAAAATAGATTTAAGTTTCTGAAATAATTGAATAAGGATAACCTATTTCAAATAATAATGCAGCTAATAATGCAAATAACATCAATCCTAACAGTATTTCTCTCAACAATACTGGAGTAGTCAAAAAACCTAGTCTTTGGAAAACAAAAGTTTAAGAAAAATTAACATCTGTAAAAAAATCTCCCTAATTATAATCTTAAACAACTAACTTAGTAACTAACTTAATAGATTAAAAATAATAAAATTAAATTGATTTTACTAAATAAAGTACGAAGCAGAGCAGATAGAGAAAAGCAAAATTAACTTAAATTTTGTTAGATATGATCAATCTGGTAGTTGCAAATGTCAGATGCTAAGAAGTGGTTCTAGTTGGAGTTTAGGACTTAAACCAGATCACACTGAATTAAGTATATAAATAGCTTACATATAATTAATAGCTCAAGCTCAAAGCTTTATCTATATCGAAAATTAATTCTTTATATCATGTACTGCAGGTAGTGTAGTTAAAAATTAAATTGCATAAGCTCTCATCGATAGAATTTTGTTAGCTGACAAAAAAGGAGAAGACTTTTTCGTATGCGTTGTTATGCCACTGCTTCCAGTAAATTAAATTTATTAAATTTCCATTCACTAATATTTAAAAAAATGTAAGTAGTCCAAATCTTATATTAAAATCTGATCATATTTTACAAATATAAATTTCCTATAAGAGAGGTGTTTTGATCAAGTAATATATGAGAAGAATATGACTTAATTAATTTTTCTCAAAACATTTAATTAAAAATTCTAGATTTGATGATTAATTAGGTTTAAAAAGTATAGAGATCTAAAATTTTTCAGAAATTAAATTTTATAAAGCAAACAAATTATCTGAATTCTTTTACTTTAATTAAGAAAAAAATTTAATTTAATTTTTCAATAGTAATTAGTAATATGCTAAATAAATTTGACTTAGAACAAACCCAAGTTTTAATTTATTTTTAGCTTTATTTTCAGTTTTAAGGAATTAAATTTAAAACTATTTTAAATAATAGATAAATAAAATCTTATCACTCTAATGGATTTTTAATTGTTATTAAAGAACCCTAATTTAAACTTTTTATTAATTTTTTTTATCTGCTAAAATTTATTGAAATTATTTTACTTAATTTTATTTATTGGTTTAAAGCAATTGATGCAGTTTAAAAGTTATTTTTATAAATTTTATATTTAAATGAAATCAAATGTAAAAAACTTAGGGTTTTGCTGGAGAAGTAAATGATTCGAATGCAGCTGTAATGAAATGCTAACTTCATTGGGAGTATTTTACTATTAGCAGAGGAGGTGGGTCAATATACGAAGTTCTAAAATAGCATGTTAAAGATCCATTTAAATATATAAAATTTTTTGGACTTAGAAATCATGGAGTGCTAAATAACACAGTAAAAATATAAAAAACTTAAAATAAACTAAATATTATTTTACACTAAAAGCCATACTCAGAAATTATTTACGTCCATTCAAAACTTATGATTGTTGATGATAAATTTGTTATCATAGGGAGTGCTAATATTAATGATAGATCTATGTGTGGAACTAGAGACTCAGAAATTGCTGTATTTATATTAGATGATTTTTATCTCTTTATTTATTTATTTATTTATTTATTTATTTATTTATTTAAGATTTATAATTTTTAAAATTTAAATCTTTAAAATTATGACTTTTTTTAAATTTGCTTGATAAATTTTTTGTTGAAATATATATTTATATAATAAACTAAATAACTAATGTATATATATTTCATCAATCTAGATGATTGTTGAAGATACTAAAAAAGTTAGTTGCAAATTAAATGGAAAGTATGTTATGTTAAACTAATTTGCTCATACATTTAGGATGTCTCTCTATTAAGAACATTTTGGATTGACAGAATCAGAGGCCGAAGATCCATTAAATCCTTAACTTCTAAGCTTAATTTCAGAAAGAGCTAAAGTAAATATTTATAACCAAAGTTTTATACTTTATTTTCATTTTTTATAATTAAGAAAAATACAGAAATATACAGAGAGGTATTTAGATGCTATCCAGATGATTAAGTCACTTATTTGAACTAATTAGAACCATGGCAGAAAGAAAGAAAACCAGAAAATTACAATGAATTAAAAGATTAAATTAAAGGTCATGCAGTTGAGCTACCTTTAGATTTTTTAAAAAATGAAAATTTAAATTTTACTATTCGTTAGAAAGAGTATTTTGTACCAGTGTAGTCATTCTTGTAAGCGACCTGGAAAGCCATCCAACACTCATTCACATTTTTCATTTGCTGATGAGGTTGAGTTTTCCAGATGAAAACCCTACTATTTTCTTTCTTTTTTTATTTTTTCTTTTTTAATTTTCTTATTATTTCTATTTTTGAAAATTAAATTAATTATTTAGTTTTAGCAAGAATTTAAAATATTTATTTAATTAATTAATTGTTCAAAAGTGTTTTATTACCCATTTAATTTTTTGTTTTTTTGAGAAAAAAGTTATAAAATAAATTTATTTTACAATCAAAATTGAATAAAATAAATTTAGGTTTATTATTTTTATTGGTAATGAATTAATTTAAGCTTATTTAGCATTTTAAGCTTAAGCTGAATATAATTTTTAAATTAAAATTACTTTTTAATAAACAAGTGTTTTGAATTGCTAAATTAATTTTATCAAAAAGCAGAAATGTTTTTTGATAATAAAAGAATCTACTTTCTTTACAAATGTGAATAAATTATAAAATTAAAACTACAAATTAACTTTTTCGTTTTAGTTTTAAAATAATTTTTTGCAAATCATTTAAGAAAAAGAGGAAATTTATATTTTTTATTAAAAAAATAAGATTTAGTGAATATAAATATAATCCAACTAAATTTAGATATTATAAACGAGCACAATGCATTAAAATGTTAATTAATTAACGTACCAATAAATCCTAATTAATATTGCTTGATATATAATAAATACCTAAAGTAGCAGTATTTGAGTGAAATTAATAGAAGAATCAAAAAAGATAATTTAATTAAAAATAATTATTATTAAGAATCTACCTTAAACACATTAAAATCACCTCAAAAATCAATGTTCAAAAAAGGACAGAAAAAATAGCAAGCTTAGCAAAAGCAGGTTTAAAATAAATAGCCTAAAAAGGTTTAGCAAGAAGAAACTGACTTGATGGTAAACATCGAAGAGGAAATCAAGAGTAATTATGAAGATAGCGGCGATTCTGATGAAGAATTTGAAGCTGTTGATAATGGATTCTTCTCAGGATTAGGTGGAGAATCAAAGGTAAAAGACTAAAATATAACCAAGGTTATTGAGGCTACTAAGTAAGATTACGAATCTAAGATGACCACTCTTGAATAAAAGGTTAAAAGACGTTAAAGAAGGGTTAAAGAAACTTTAGATAACAGTGATGATGAAGAATAAGAAGAAAATGATAATGAAAATGATTCTGATGAAGAAGAAATTGAAAAAAAGCATAAAAATAAGAAGAACGTTAACAAAGCTTCAAATGATAAAGTATTAAAAATGGCTAAAGAAAAGTTAGACAATGAAAGCGAACATGAAGATGATGATATGGGAACATAGATCAATCAAAATGCAAATAAAAAGCTAAAAGAATAAAAGCTCAACAAGAAGAAGAAGAAAACATGGTAAGATTTAGGTTTAATTAAACCTTTACTAAAGGCAGTTGAAGAAATGCAATATGAATTCCCAACTAACATTCAATCTCTTGCTATTCCTGCTGCTTTGCAAGGCAAAGATCTCTTGGCTAGTTCTTTAACAGGTAAAAAATTTACAAATAAATTTAAAAAATTAAAATTTTATTTAGCAAACGAACAAATAAATCATGTTGTAATCAAAATTTGAATTAAAATAGGTTCTGGCAAAACTGCAGCTTTCTTGATTCCAATCCTCTAAAAGTTCTACAGATCACCATTTACAAACTACAGCAAGGTAATTAAATTAATTTTTTGTTTTATTTGTTGAGTAGAGTTTTCTTGTGCATAAAGCTAATAAAAGCTTATGTAGAAATAATTAAAGTTATAAATTATCAAATTAATACATTTAGATTGATATTTTTGTATCAAATTTATTAATTTTGAAATTTAACACCTACTTTCTTTCTTTCTATATTTTTGCTATTAATTCAAACACAAAATCTCATAAAGTCTTTTTCATCAAAAATTCGATTTTATTAAAAATATTGTTTTAAATAGTTTTCATTAAAATAAACTTTAAAAAATTGAAATAATTCTAAAAAATAATAGGCATTAATTGTCACTCCTACTAGAGAATTAGCTTTCTAGATTTATGAGGTTTTCACTAAATTAAATAAATATACAAAACTTAGAGCTTGTTTAGTCATAGGATAAAGTGCCATGTAAAAGCAAGAAGCTGAACTTAGAGGAAATCCTGAAGTAATTATTGCTACTCCTGGTAGACTTATTGATCATTTGCAAAACTCTAGATCTATTGATTTGGATAACTTAGAAGTATTAATATTTGATGAAGCAGATAAGTTATTAGATCTTGGTTTCGAAGCAGCAGCTCAAAATATTGTAGAGAATTGTAATAGAGAAAGACAAACACTTCTATTCTCTGCTACACTTACCAGTGAAGTCAACAAGCTTATCGACATAGCACTTAGAAAACCTATTAGGTAAAAATTTATTTATTATTAAAAAATTGTTTTAATGATTAATATTTTAAAGAATATAAGCCAATCCAGATGGTTAAACTAATGACAAGCTCATTTAAAAGATGCTTAGAATATAACATGAAGATTTTAGAGAAGCAGCACTTTTAGCTATAGCAGCTAAGTACTACAAAGAAAGAACAATTATATTCTTCAAGACTAAAAGATAAACCCATAGAATGGCAATTATTTTTGGTCTTTTCGGATTAAAAGTTTGTGAGTTGCATGGTGATTTAACTTAAAATTAAAGAATTTAAGCTTTTAGTGATTTTAAGGAGGGAAAATACTAATATTTAATGGCCACTGATTTAGCATCTAGAGGTTTAGATATATAAGGAGTAAAAGCTGTTATTAATTTTGAATTGCCTAGTGAAGTTACTAGATATATTCATAGAGTTGGTAGAACTGCTAGAGCTGGTAATGAAGGTATATCTTTAACTATTGGTCTTGATGCTGAATTAAAAACTCTCAAGAAAATGCTTAAAGAAAATAAAGATAAAATGATGGAAAAAGTTAGTTTGTCTGTTGAAACATTATAAAAATATAAAGAAAAAATACAAAATGTAGAAAGGGAAGTTGTTAAAGTTTTAGAAGAAGAATAAGCTGAAAGATAACTCAGAAAGGCTGAAATGGAGTTGCAAAAAGCTGAAAACATGATAAAGCATAAAGATGAAATTATGAATAAACCCAAAAAGACTTGGTTCCAAACTAATCATGAAAGAAATAAAATCAAAGAAGCTGCAAAGGCAGCTGCTTTAGGTGAAAAATGAAATTGAAAATTTTTAACACATATAAAGTTAGTTTATCTCCTGTTTTATAAAAGTTAAAATATATACTTGGTTGGAATTTGAATAAGGTTTATTGTTTTCTCGTTTATTAATCATATATGCAATGTTATTTGTTAAATATATATTTATCAATTATAAATATTTTTAAATTCAAATTAAAATCTAGGCATTCCATTCCGTAAATAAAAAAGCTAAGTTAAATTAGCCAAAAACAGCTAACAATGTTAAAAAAAACTTAAATTAATGCTATTTTTGAAAAAATTAATGACTAATTATAGTTTCTTTTTCTTAAAAATATTTCATTAATTTACATATTATATTTATATAAAAATTAATTATGATGCTAATTTATTATATTTTTAAGCTCTAAGATTAAGTAGATTTCTTTTCAGAAACCAATTTTTTAAAAATTTGTAGATTTTATCATTTCTAATGGTTTAAAATCTAATTAAAAATAATTAAGCTATAATAAATAAATAAAATTATTATTTTAATTTAAAATAATAAATTTAATTTTAATTTGAAAAAGAATAAAAAAAGGCTTTAGCACCTAAATTTAAAAATTATTATTTTTTTAATCTAATTAATTATAAAGCAAGGTCTTTAATTTAATTATTGTTAAATAAAAATATTATCTATACTATTAAAAAAAGTCTTTCATAAATTTTAAATAAATAATATTATTTTATTTTATTGCTTAAATGAAAAGATAATCTTTAATAACTTTTTATTATAAAGGTTATGTATGTATTAGCTAATAGAAATAAAAGGTAAATAAAATACATCTTAGCAAAAAAAGAAACAAAGAAAGAAAGTATTTGGGTTGATTTGATTACTTACTGTTTGTTCTATACCAAAAAGAAATAAATATACAAAAAAAGAAGATTATATCAAAAATTAATAATCACTTTAAACTTTAAGAAAATTTTGTTAGGAAAAAGAAATAATTAAATGGAAGGTAGCAAGTGCGGTAAAGAACATTTTACATACAAAAATGAAACTTAAATGAAAGAAAGAGACCCTCTTTTAAATAAGTTTATATTAGACACCTTAGCCTACTCTGCTATAGGTGCTGTTGCAGGTTTTACTGCAGGAATTTTCTTAAAACGCCCTACTTTTTGGAGCGTTTTCTTCTCTGGTGTTGGTGCTCATTATGCTTATTCTACAGGTCCTGTTAAATTCAGATACTGGTGCTGAATTAATCAATATCAGCAATGATTTAAGCTCTAAATTTTGAGATTAATTTTTAGCCAAAAAATAAATAAATAATATTAGATTTGTATATTCTCATTAATTTATTATTATATTTTTGTAGTAGTTGTTAATGTAGGAATACACACCATCTTCAAAGTTATCTCGAAAATCTAAAAACAAAAAAGTCTAAATTATATTAAAAAATCAACATTTTTTGTTTATTTTGCACCTATTCTTAAAAGTTATACTCATATAATATTTAATAAAGTGAATGTTCCTTGATGAATTCAATATTTCTTTCGTATCTTTGCAATTTTTATCATTTAAAGCCACTTAATTAAACATAAACATGAATTTATTGAATTTAGTGATTTACTAATTTGAAAAAATGACAAATGTAGTTTGAAAATTATAACTCAAAGTAGGTTAATTATTTTTTGATTTTATTTAATGTCACTTTTGAAAAGATAATCAAGAACATATTAATGATATATGTCGATTGAAAATTAGAATAAAAAGATATAAAATGCTTTGATAAACTGTTGATCATTCAGTAAAATTTTATTGTGAAGCTAAGCAAATCTATATTGATTTATTTAAGATTTATATAAAGATTAAAGGATCTTTCTTTTGTGTTTGTTTAAATGAAATCTAATTTTTGTAAATTAATTTAAAAGATTTCAAAATTTTTATTGTTGTTTTGTTAGCTTTTTAATTAGAATATAATCAACTAAAAAATTAAATAAAAATTTATTTTTTTTAATTAAATTTTATTTTATTCTAATCTAATTAATTTAATGAAAAATAAAAATTTATTAGTATTAAAATACCTAAATATTAGTTTAAATGTTAGCCTTGTTCCTATTTACTTTAGTGCATTTTATCATAAAAAGTTAATAAAAATTATTTTTTTTAAAAATAAAACTATTCTAATAAATTTTTATTAAAATAATTTTTGTTTTTTTGTGCTCACCTACATACCTATACATACTTTTATCATTTTGATTTTTAATTTTATAAATTAAATATCTCAAACAAAGGACATTTTAATACTATATAAAATATTGCAATTTTATATCTTTCTTTAATCATAAATGCAAATAAAATAATTTGAAAATTTTTCGGATAAAAATGAAGTCCGTCCTTCAGCCAACTTCAATTTTTGGTAATATTTGAAATAAAATAATTTATATTTACAAAATTTTTAAAAAGTTATAAACAATTTATAAATAAATACAGGGAAAGTAAGTTGATTATTTATAATGAAATCTTTAAAATTATAATTTAGTTAACTCAAAAATTCTTTTTTTTGTAGTTAAAAATAGAATCGCCATCATATTGGATATTAGATTAACTTGAATTTCTTTAAGACTTGTAATTGCTAAGTGAATTACTAGCAAAAGAAGCTGCATTATTGCTATTATTGTAGCTCATATTATTACTCAAGTAATTACCACCTAATTAATTACTTTTAGTTGAAGATGTTCCAATTTAAGGCGATGTAATAGGATCTAAAGCAACTTTAGACCTAGAATTATACGATATTTATGACATGTTATTTTATTAATTGGATATAGAACTATTATAAATTGCATTAGAATTGTTACTTAGCAAATTACTACTTGTAAGTCCACTGCCATTATTTTTGCTTGAACTATTTGTAAACAAAATGGCATCTTATTTAGCTAATTTTGATTTTAATTGAGCCATTTCTTAAGAATATTAAGTAGTTATCAACTTTATTTTTTCTTCTAATTATTCATTTTACTTTTTTAACTCTAAAACATGGTCAGAAGACTGAGAATATCTTTCAGCTAACATAACACTTTCTGGTCTAATTTAATCATCATTTCCAACCCCATTTTTTTATTGCATGTTTCTCTGACTCTAAAATAAGATTTATTCATATTTTTATTTGTATTACTCATTTTCTTTTTCTAGTTCTTCAAGTCTTTTTCTTTAATACTCTAAAACATATCTTAGCTATTCTTCATTTTAAATTCCTTTGCTTTTATCTATAGCTGTCTTTGGGCGTGCCAATGCAATATTCTTGACAGTATCTTTTAATGAGCCCATTTCTTCTCTCAAAACCTTATTGTCTTTCTTTAATATTTCATTTTCTTTCTTTGTTTAATCTAGTCTTTTTTTCAAGAATTAAATCTCTTTTTCAAATACTTGCTTTTCTTCTTTGCTAAAGTCATCTTTTTACAAATTCATTTCTTTTAAAATTTTTAATTTTATAACAAAGTTTTTGTAATTAAACAATAAATTAATGATTTGAGGTTAAAAGAAAAGGTCTTTCTTTAATGGTCAAAAGGAATCAAATTATTAAATCAGAAATTTTTTATTATCCTTATCAATAATAAATAATATATCTATCTATCAATATAAACAAACAATCATAAATAATGTAATTTATTTTTAGTACTCATTTAAAAGTACAATTAACAAATCTATTTCCATTCTCCAGTAAAAGTTATAAAAAATTCAAAACATTTTTTTAAATTGATTTATTCAAGTTTATTTAATCTTTAATGAAGAGATATTCAAATCCCTACAAATGTTTTTCTCAAGTTAATTTTTAAAATAATTATAAATAATAATTGTAATTAAAATGAATTAATTTAACATTTTTAGAATAGAAATTCAAAATATATCTTTAAATGTTGCTATTTTTAAAAAAATTTGCAGTTACTTTGGAAATAAATAGCAAAAGAAATGAATTTTATAATAAATATAAACAAATAATCAAATCATACATTCATTCATTAGAAAAAAAAATCTAACTTCCCTGAATCAATTAATTAGCTTATTATTAGATTAAGAATTCAGTCAAACCTACCTAATTTTCTTTCTTTTTAAAAATTGAAAGAAAAACTTGATAAAAAAAGATAGAAATCTCTTTGAAATTATAGCTGAACTAATTAATATCGATTGATTTGTTAATAATTAAATTTCCTAAATAAATTATCAAAAAGTTAATTATTATCATTATTTAGGAATTAGCAATCTTGTATATAGAGTAAAATGAGGGCAAGTTCGGCTACAAAGAGCTAAAAAGATTTAAAAACCTTAGAAGAAGAATACATTCATTAATCTAAGAAGTCTAATCTTTTAGGTGTGTTTTTATAAAAAATAAAAAATTTAAAAATAGAGTTGATGAATTCATATTATCAATTATCTTAAAATTAAATAAGTTTGTTTTCCTAAATATCTAAATAAATGATTTTGCTTGGAAGACAATTATTCGAAAATGCAGTGATATCAATTAAATAACAATTTTATTATAAATTTAATAGAAAATGACAGAAAAATCTTCCATAAAAATGCTGAAGAAACTAAAAACAATAACATGTAAATCATAGAAAGCTTAAAAAAAGAAAACAAGTAATTAAAGACCTTAAGAGATGAATTGATAGCAAACAAAAGAGTAAATAAATAAATTATTACAAGCACTTATGTTTTAAAGATGATTAATAAATATTAATAATAATAAGGCTTCCACTCCAGGAATGTCCAAAACTCAAGGCAGCTTAGTCTCTTGGTCTGGAGATATAAAAGATGAAGTAATTAAATAATTTCTATAATTATTATATATATAATTTTGTATAAAAATGATGTAATTAACACTTTCTAAAATACAAATTTAATTAGAATTACTGGAGAAGAAAGTTTGATGAAGCAAGACACGCTACAAAAAATAAAAAGAGTTAGCTTTTGCAACTTTAAGATAAACTTAATGAAGTCTCAGATGCAAAATTTGGTGGTAAGTTTCATATAGTTATCACTAATAAATAATATATAACTAAATTAATAAATAGCTGTTGAAGAGTCACCTTTGATGCGTTAAATTAGAATTTTAGAAAATAGATTAGATAAAGTTATGATTAAGTTTAATGAAGCTCAATCTATCCGTAAAACTTATGAATAAATTGTCAAACGTTTAAAAGAAGAAAGAGTTGGTTATGATAATTAATTGGCAGCTATTGAAAGATCATTAAAAGGAAAAGAGCATGATTTTGAAGAACTACTTCTTCTTGCTCACGATGCTACTCACGCTAAAGAACTAGCAGCTGCTGAGCTTAAAAAATACGAGCATAAAAAAGTAATTAATATTCTTAATTTTTCTCTATTTAATTCTTTATATAAAAAGGCTGCTGTCAGAGAGCTTAGAAAGACATATATTGCTGAAAAGAGAAAAGCCATAGAATAAAGAGAAGCAGTCATTTCAAGAATGGAAAAGAAAGATAAAGACAATGATGACAGAAATCTCGAAAAATCTTAAGCAAACAATTTAAATGAATTAAACAACCCATAAATTGAACCTTAAAATCATTAAGATGCTACATTTTAGAGACAAAAACTAAATGATTATGATGAAGCTTTCAGAAAATTATATGTAAATTAATATTTCTATTACATAAAAGGAGGATTAAATTCATTATTAATTTTTAATCGATTTAAGCTAATTTTTTAGATTTTGAATTTTGTTAAATAATTGTGTAACAATTATTTTAGAGAGAGACCTACCTGTTAAATTTTTTAATAATTTTTATAACTTAAATATTTATTTATGTTTGATCTTTATTTAAATAGGAAGCTACAGGTGTTACAGATGTTAATGAGATTATTTAAAAATTTACAACTTAAGATGAAACTTCTAAATCTCTTAAGGATTTACAGAGGGAGTATTAAGATACAATTGACGATAAAAAAAAGTAAAGGGATGATTTAAAAGCAGGTTTAAATGCATTAAAATATGAAGGCAATGAAAACCCAAATAGAAAATAATTAGATGAAGTAATTAATTAATAGATATAAAAATTAATTTTTTATATTATTTTATAACAAAAAAAAATAATTATTTTACTTACTAAATAATAGATTGAAAAAAATGTAAATAATGCTGTTAATAAATGTGATAAAGCCAAATTAAAGTATGAAAGAGTTTCTAAAATATTGGTTGATGTTAAAGCAGGTATTGAGCATTTGTATGAAAAGTTGGAGTTTTATAAAGTAATAATTTCAATTTATAACCAAACTTCATTTTAATTCTTTAACTTAACTAGCTTGAAGGTAAACCTAACATTGTGATTACTGATGAGACTTTAGTTGAAGGTTTATCATAAATTGTTGAAAAAATGAAATTGATATTCTAACCTGTTAAGAATGATCCTTCTTACAACCCTGAGGACTTCAAGCAAACTGCTAAGGGTGTATCTAATTACATCAACTTAAATTTACGTGACAAAAGTAACCAAAAAAATAAATAATTTAACTTTATTTTAATTTTATTTTATAATTTTTAGGTGGAAGAATAGAAAGCATAAGTAAAAATATAAGAGTAAAATTACCAGAAAAAGACGAAGAAGAAGTATCTAACGATGAAATAGAAGACGATGTAAATAAATTAGATTTTATAATAAGTAATTTTAATCATTTTATTTTAAAAAACAAACAAACAAACAATTAGATTGATATCGAAACTACTACAAAACTCAAACAAAAATATTAAGCCCAAGCTAAATAAGAAAAAGCTGCAAGAAATAAATAAAAGAAACAACTTGGTTCTACTTAACAAGGAAGAAAAGTTTGAAAATATATATTCTATTAAAATATTTATAATCTAATTGTAAATTAATTAATTAATTAATTCATTCATTGCCTTTAAGAGTATTAATTATTTCAAATATAACAAAAACCTCTGCAATTAAAAATATTAAAATCATATTTCAATAATTAGTTTTGTTTTCTTGATATTCTATTTTTGTTATTGATCATCATGAAATATTGTTTTGAGATATTCATAAAGTAGATTTTATAAATAAACATTATTTCTTTATCAATCAATTATCAAAGATAGATAAATTAAATTGTATTTTAATTAAAATATAATATTTAAATAAAATAAAATAAAATAATAAAAATTCAAACAAATATTTTTTTTTTCAACTTATTTAAAAAAAAAATTAGGCTATATCAAACGAATTCAATCAATAATTTCTATATGATTATCCATCTATTTCGAATATTATATTTTTTTTAAAATCAAAACGTTTGCATGTTAGTAATTTGAATTTGATAAAATATGAAGGTGTGTGTAGATTTTTAAAAACTGGTTTTAAATAAAAATATATAAATATATATATAAAATATGAATAATTTATTAATTAAATAAAATGTAAAATTTGTTTATTTAATTAAAAAAAGAAGTTAGTTAGTTAGTTAGTTAGTATGGATGATAAGTATTTGTTATTTTTAAATTATAAATAATAAATTTCTGTTTATAATAAATATCTAAAAGATATTGTTTTAATTAATTAGTTTTTAGCTTTCAAAACAAATAAAAAGTCAATTTTATAAATACAATATTAAATGGCTCCTAAAAAAGACAAATCAAACTACGTTTTTAGATTTAAAGAAGATTAAGTTCTTATTAAAAGGCCAGGCGATTTAGATGGTGCAGATTTTGCTATTTCAAATTGCAAAAACTGTGAAATCTACATTTTTGACCATATTGCTTAAGTAGGATATTTCGTAGATTTGTATTCATATTTAGATTTTACATTTGAAATAAAAAACAGATTTTTGTAGATGATTCATAAAATTGCAAAGTATATGTTGGTCCCACTAAGGGGTCTGTTTTTGTAAGAGACTGTTAAGGTAATAATATTTATTTATCAATCATAAGTTAAAATTGTTTTTGAAAATAGATATCGAGTTGTACTCTTCTTCATCTTAATTAAGAATTTCAGACACAAAAAAGTAGCAAAACTTCATTCAATAAATATGCAATTTAATATAATCGTTTTTATAAATATCATAAAAAGCATTAAAGCTTATGTGTTTTCATAAAGTGACCCAACATTAGAAAATACTTCAGGACTTACCTTAGCTCCTTACAATTTCCTTTTCCCAGGATTAAAGTAGCATTTCGAAGCTGCTGGATTAGTTGCTTGTAATTAAATCATATTCTAATATTTGCAAAATTAACACTAAAAAATTAATTATTTTAGCTGAAGACAAGTGGAGCTAAGTTTTTGATTTTACTCCAAGCAAAGATTCCACAAAAAATTGGACATTGATGGATCCTAAAGATTATCCTGGTCCTATTATTAAAGAGGTAGATACATTTTATAAAAATCAAATAAAATTAATAAATAAATAGAGACTTTAAAAAATTTAAATTAAAAATCTCAGGTTTTATTAGTTAGTTTTTTATTTATTCCATTTAAAAAGATTTATCAAATGAAATATATAATTTCTTAATGTGCCTTTAAAAATATTTCAACATTTAAAAACTAATTAGATTGAAGGAGTAGAAGGAGATTGCACAAATCCTGTTCCTGTATCTAAGATCTATGGAGGAGATAGCGATATTTAAATTGTATTAGGAAGTGCCGATGATAGTAATCAAGTAATTGATGGTATGGCTTCATTCAATATTCACGTTACTCAATAATAAGCATAGTAGACTTTTGAATAAAAAGTAGAATAAGCATAACCTGAAGAAACTGCAAATAGTAAGAAACTGTTTGTTTTGAATTTGATTTTATATAAATTAAATAAATTAAAAAAAATAATTTAGGCAATTTTGGATTTGATGATAATTAACAGCAATAGTACTAATACTAAAATAATTAAGCTTAATAAGCTGCAGATGATTTCTGGGGAGGCGAATAACAAACTATTAACCCTTCAAACTAGAGTCAAGTGCATTAATAATAAGCAGATGATGATTTTTGGGGAAGCTAGTAGCAAACTATCACTCCTTCAAATTAATAAGCAGATGATTTTTGGGGAGCTCCATAATAAACTTTAAATACAAATAGCACATAACAATAATAATATGGAGCATTTTAAGCTGAAAAGACTGCCAAGCAAATAAAAGAAGAAGAACTTACAAGAAAAGTAATTGAAAAGCAGGTAAAATTGATATATTTTAATGTTAGTTACCCTTTAACAATAAAATTCTAAATTCTAAACAAAGGATTAAGAGCAATAATAAAAAAGAGAAAAGAGAGCTGCTGCATAAAGATATCTCTAAAATTTCCTTCAGTAAAAAATTTAAAATTTATTAAATACTTATTTAAATTCTTTATTTAAAGAGAAAAGCAAAAGTAAACAGAATTAAAAAAGAAGTTAGCATTAGAAGAAGAAGAAGTGTTGATAGAAAGTAGAAAAAAAGAAGAAGGAAAAGTCAAAAATCCTTGGGAAAAAATAACAAAAAATATTGCATTAAAGGCTGGAGAATATCCAGGAAAATTAGATGTAGCTGCTATGCGTCAAGCTATTATTAATAAAAAATCAGATATTAATTGATCTAAAAAACTATTTAATTTGAATAAAATTTTAGTTAAATAAATTAATTAAATGTATGTTTAATATTTTAAGGATTCATATCAAATATTAATTGTTCAAGTAAGTAACAGAAATGCAAAAATTTATCCAAAAATTTTATATTAAATGAGAGAATTCTATTTTGAATTATTAAAAAATGCTTAATTTTTTATTAATTGTTTATTGAATTCTAAATTTTATGTAAATTTAAATATTTAAAAAAAAAAATTTTATCTTTTGACAATATACTGTAAATGCTCATTAATTAAAGCATTCCCTAAGTATCTTTTTTGCCCAAAAAAAAGTGCCTTTTATCTTTTTATTTATTAGAAAAAACATTTTCATAAAATGATTATGTTAATTTTTATTACATTTAATATTTATTATTTTACTTATTAATTTATTTTTAAATGTTTTATTAAGAAAAAAGTGAAGGATTTTAGAATTATTTTAACTATAAAAATAAATTAATAAAGGCAATACAAAAAATTTAAAAAATATAGATTAAACAAATTAAATGATTTATTAATTATCTTTTATAATTTAAATAATTTATAATAGAATCTTGGTGGTCATTCATAAAGTTTTTTAATTACAGATTCATAACGCTATTTTGCTTAATAGCGTTATAGCTTCAAAGTTGATGTACATAACCCTTATAGAATAAATGAGGTAGGTTCTAAATGTATTTTTGTAGCTTATTCAAAAGTGTAAAGTTTATTAGCTTTTCCATGCTCAAAAATAGATTTTTAATAAAACTGAATAATTTAAGGAATCTAGCATAATTTAGAAATATCTTCTTCATTATCTACATTAAGTTCTTTAGCTATTCTTTTAATTTCATCTGGGTTAGGAACAATAACTGCAACGCAATTATTTTTTAAAGAGTCTCCATAGACAAAAGCTTCTGCAACACCCCTAGCTCTAACATAGATATTTTCTACTTTTTCTGGAGCTACATATTCACCTTAACTCAATTTAAATATGTTTTTTCTTCTATCTATTATCTTAAGAGACCCACTTGGTAGTAAGCTACCCTATTTTATTTATTTAATAAACATTAAAAATAGAAAGCTTAAATTTAATTAAAAGTTACAATATCTCCAGAATGTAACCATCCTTCATCATCAATTGCTTCTTTGGTTTTTTCCTCATCTTTATAATACCCTGCAAAGACTGAGCTACCTCTAACACAAATTTCACCTCTTGGAATAATATCTCCATGTTCATTTTTATCAGTGGAAAAGTAATTCATTTCTGGGACGTCAATTAGCTTCATTTCTAGCTGAGAGCACACACCACCAACGTATCCACAAGATTATTTATCTTGTCTAGAGGTCATAAACTGTAAACCCATTCCTTCTGTTTATCCATATGCTTCGTATACTGGGCATCCTAAAACAATTTTATAAAAATCAAGTACATCTGAAGAAATTGGAGCTGATCCACTTGCAACCAGTCTAACTCGTCCTCCAAAAATGTCTTTAATTTTGTTAAAGACTAATCTATTTATTTATTCATTTAATGTTATTTATAATTTAAAAGTAAATGCAACTTTAAAAATTCGAAATACTTTTTTAATTAATTTATATTTTATGATAACGCAACAAATTAATTTATATTTTAAGATAATTCAAGCAAATTAATTTATATTTTATGATAATTCAAGCAAATTAAAAAATTTTATAAAAGTTTTAGTAAAAAAATGAGTTATCATATAAAATGAATGAAAATTATTCTAAGTTTTGATAAATATGGTTGTTTTTTAAAGTAATAAATTATAATTAAGAAATATTTTACTTGTCATAGAGGAAGTGATTGTATTAATTTTTAGTCTTTAAATTTTCTAATTTAGTCTTAATTGCTGTCTATATTAAGCTTTATTTAAATCCCTCTACTCTTTTCAAATTATCTAGAATGACGTCATAAAATCTGTTGAAAAGTCTAGGTACAGAAACAAAAATAGTGGGTTTACTATCTTAGATATCTTCTTTTAGTTTTAGCATATCACCACCGAAAAACGCTATTTTAGTACCTTTGCACCATGAGATTACGTTTAAGACTCTCTACATTACATGTGGAAGAGGGAGATAGCAAAGTAAAGTGTCTGTGTTGTTCATATCAAATTCTCCCAATGCGGAAACTGCCGACATGAAGTTTTTGTGTGTAAGCATGGCTCCTTTTGGAAGACCTTTTGAGTTATAGAAGAAAAAAGATAAGAAAAATAAATGAATACAATGTATGATTTTTACCAGTTGTTCCCGAAGTGTAGCTAAATGTAAATACTTATTATGGATTTAAGTTTTGGGGAAGCTCTTCTAAATTAGATGCTCCTTCTTTTAAAATTTCTTCATAGCTAATTAATTTGATTCCTCTGCTTTCAATTTGTTATTTGGTTTCTTCTGTTAGTGGATCGAAGTAAACGATATTAGCTAATTTATGCAAATTGGGTCTTTTTGTTAATTAAATGTAAAGATTAATTTCAGTTCATGAGTTTATTAGGAAAATAATTAAACATTTTTGATAAAATTAAATTAAATCCCATCAATTAAAAATATTGATACAATTTATAAATTTGTGCATAAGAAAAAGCAATTCAAGTTATTGTAAGTAGCATAATTTAATAAATAGATTAATTTTACGTTTAGACTAAGGTATTAACGCTTGCAGCTGAGCAAAAACAAGTAGTCATTTATGTTTATTCAAAAACAAATGTGATTGTCTCGTGGCCAAGAGTGTCATATAGTGGTACTACTGTAACTCCGTAGAGAGCACAAGCCATATCTACTGTATTCCATTCAACACGATTTTTAGCATAAATACCTTTAATTACATTTAATTTTCTATTAATTCGTAAGCAACTAACTAATAATTAATTCTACCTATTAAGCTGAGATCAATATTCTTATATTCATTAGTTTTGAATGCAAGATTTAATCTTTTTATTTATGTACCAACTGCCCTTGCCTAAAGGTACTCTTCTCCGTATGTTTTATAAGTGAATTTTTTAGTATTTGCATCTCTTTAGCCTATGAACTCCTAGTCTTTGTACAAGCTATTAGCTTTCAATATTGCTGCTTAAATTGTTTAGAGATCTTCGCTTGGATATTCTAATAATTTTTCTTTTGATTGCACATTTCTATATACAGATGTTTCGCCATCTTTTTTTTCAGTAACAGGTTCTGAGTAAATGTGAACTGAAGATTAGTTTCCTCCCATTTATTGTTTACTAATTTAATTTTTGTGATACCTTTTTTAATCTAATTTGTTTAATTATAAAAAATTATAAAATATTAATTAGATGCCAAATTATTTTTGAAAAACTTCATTGGCTTTACTGAATCAGAATAATTTACTGGTGATCTAAGAAGAAATTACAAATTAACTCAAGTTGAAATTTAATTTGGTAAAAATAATAATAGACAAACAATATTTTTTTGCAGTTATTTCAAATTTTATAGAATGCATTTATGAAATGATTAATCAAAAGTGTAAATTATAGAAAGAAGCATAATCGATTATAAATTTAAAAAAGTTCTTTAATATAATTTATCATTTTATAAAAAGATAAACAAATTTTATATTAAAAAATGAAATTTTTCTTTTTATTAATAAAAGCATTCGTATTAATTAATCGCCTATTTAAAAATACTTAAGTTATCTATGAATAATATAATAATTATCTATTTTTATCATTTTATGAAACATTATCTATATCTTTTTTATAATTTTAGATTCTGTTTTAATTTTTGTTTTTCAAAACATATCAAAAGAAAGTAAGATATGTTTATCTAATTTTTAAATTTGTAGAAAGATTATAGATACATACGTGTTAGCTTACCTTGTATTAATATGTAATTTAATAAACACTTTTATTTTTATATTAATTAAATTTAGAGATTAACTTTTTGTATTTTAATAGAGAATCTATCTATCTATATATTTTTAATCATTACAGTTTAGAGTCTGTGGATATATTTTGTTTTTATTTTGTGGTAATTTACGAATGATCGAAATTCTTAAAAATAATTAAGAAAAATAAATATAAACTTAAATATTTTATCAATTAGTTTTATTTTTAAATAATTTAACCAATTAAATATCAGTATTTAAAGCAAATTTCTATGAAAAATTTAAAAAATAAAATTATTTAATTAATTATTAACAAATGTTGAAGTTATATTTATTAATGAATTCAAATTAAAAAATCGTTTGATTTCAAATATTTATATTTACCAAAAAAAATTAAAATTAAAGATTAAATTATTTATTATTATTTTGCTATTATCAATTTTTGACAAGAAATTATAATTTTAAAGATTTTTCCTTCAAAACAAATAAATTTAAGTAATATTTTAATTATAAAAATAAAGAAAATAATAATTATTTATTTTTAAATAAATTACAAAGTAATTAAAATTTAAAAAATAAATATCTGCGAAATTCATTTTAAAATTAATTTTGTAATTAAAAAAAATAGTTGCAAAATTTTTGTTTTTAAAAATAAATAAAATAGTTAATTTTTTGAAAGAGTAAAATAAAATAAATATCAATACTAATATTCAATATTTTATATTTTTATTCACTAGCCTAATCATTTTAAGTGACTAAACTTTAACATACTTTTAACCCTTACTTCTAACATAGTTTTATCTATTAAGAAAAAATTAAAGTTATAAAATAAATAAATTTGCTGAATGAAGATTTATAATTAATTTACTCTAAATTTATTTCTAAAGTTGTTAAACGAGAATGATTTCTTAACTTTGTAAATAAACCAAAAGCTCCTCTGTAAAATATCCAATTTTGACTGATTTTAAATAAAATTAATATATATATATATTCAATTTATTCTTTTGAAAAATTATAAATTTAATTTAATTTTATTAATCTTTATTTTAAATTTATACCTTAAATTTATAATAAAAATTTAGAGATTAAAGCAATTTTCTATAGTGTACCCAAGTGCACATAGGCCATTATCTCCAATATAATTCTAACTTTTAATTCATTTTTATAAAATTCAGTTAATTTATCTAAATGTTAATGAATACAATTTCATAAGTAAAAATTAAATTAAATTTATTTTACTCTGAAAAATCAAGAGTTAAAGATTTAAGATTTTTACTAAGCCCATTGCATAATTCGATTAAACCTTTATCTGTTATTCTATTTTAGCTTAAAAATATTTATTTATTTAATACTAAAATTTAGTTAGTAATATTTAAAATAAAAATATTGCTTGATATAGATTTTATCTAACTAAATTTTACCATGATAAATTAAGGATTAAATTGGTAATATTAATGCAACTTTTTAATTCATCTCCAATAATTTTGATTCCTTTGTCTCCTATCTAACATTTCCTTCAATAATTTTTTTTGAGAATGATTTTAATTAAAATAAATTAATCTAAAACAGAAATTAAAATAAGTTAATCTAAAACAGAAATTAAAATTTTAGCTCTACCTTAGGTTTAAATCTAATTTCTAAAGATTTCGAAACTTTCCTAAACTAATAAATCCATCTTATATATCTGCCGAAAATAAAAAATTACTATTTTATCTTTTAAAGTAAATATTTTTATTTGATTTTAAATTATCATAATTTATCTTAAATACTAAAAATAATTGTTTTTAAAATTTTTGAATCAATGAAACATTTTTTAACTTTAATTTTATCATACATGAATTTACATTCATTAAATTTACTTTAATCTCAAAATTATCTAATTTATCAAAATTAATTTTTAAATACCATAAATAAATTCTCATTAACTAAGGTATAAAAATAAAATTTTTAGAAAGGGTATAAGTCATAAATGTGAAGGGAGATAAGTTAAGTACCTTAATATATGAGAATTTATAGTAAATTTAAATGTTAAAATGAAATTTTTAAAAATATAAAACTTATTTTTTAGTTATTAAAACATCATGAGCAAAAAAAGTTGACTAAAAAAATACAAATAAATAAATTAATTATGGTATTTATTTATTTAGAAAAAAAAAAATCAGCATTTTTAAAAGCTGTTTTTATTTAGTTTGTATTTCATTCTTTTAAAAATTTTAATAGGGAAATAATATTATTTATAAAATATAATAATTCTTAAAATAAAAATAAATTCTTATCAAATTATACAAAGAAAAATTAATTAAATATTATTAAATTAAACATAATTTTACTCTAAATGAATCTTTAAAATATTAACTTGTTCGCATATTATGGCACCTTAGAGTAATTATTTAACTTCAAAGCAAGTAATATTATTTTAACTTAATTTAAAAATATTTACTTAATTTTTAATATTTATTAAATTTAAATAAAATTTTATTCAATTTAATTGAAATTTAAATATTATTTAAAATAAAAAGTTAGGTTTATTAGTAAAATTATTTAATATTAATTCATGTAAATATTACAAATCAATTTTATTTTTACTTAATTAATAATATTAATAATTTTAAACCTATTGAGAATATCAAGAAATTAAATTAAAGATTTTTATATTTGGAATTTTTAGTTTATTTACTTTAAAATCAGTTCTAATTATATAAGATTAGTACATGAACTTAGCCCAACACCAATCCAAAATAAAGACGTATTTGAAATTTTACTTTCACTTTTTATTTAAATAAAATGATAGATATGAATAGGAAATACAACATTTCAAAAAAATATATTAAAATACCTTAAATCCAAAGTAAAATGTGCCAAATTTTAGCATTCTTTTAATTGAATCTGTATAGCAGTAGCTTTTTCTATATTTATGTCACTTTTACTAATAAATATGTAAATAATTACTAAAATTTTAAAAGCAAGCAGATATTGAATATATATAATTTATTAATTAATTTTACCGTAAATTTAAATTAAGTGTATTTTCTTTTTTTTAATTCAAAATCTGATTATTTAAAAGAGACCTAATTTATTATAAAAATTAACTAAGTATTTATTTAAATATTTATTAAATTAATTCATTTACAATTTGAAATTTTTATCAATTTCTCCCTCATTTTTTTCTTTTTAAACCTATTAATTTTCCTGAGGTTTTTCTGGTAAGGTATTCTAGCTATTAAGTTTGTAAAAATAAATAAAATAATATAATAGGTAAAGTATACTATATCTAATAAATTAAAATAAAATCATAGCTATATAAGATTTTATTTAGCTCAATGAAATTAAAGTTAAAGTTTTTTTTAGAATATAAAATATTTTTGTTTTAAGAGATAAATTTATTTACATTAACACCTATTAATCATTTTAATCAGTATTTTGGATATCCTTTTATATGTTAATTATCTTTTAATATATTAAAATAAAATTTTAGACCAATAATTTTACAATAGATAAGCTAAATAAAAATTATTAAATGTTTTTACTTTGATAGTAGAAATATTTTTTTTTTAAGTAATACATGAGCCCATATTTATTTATTTAATTTTAATTTTTCTTAACTTCTATTTGATCTCTTATTAATTATATTTATTTATTTATTATCTTAATTTCAGTAAAAAATTAAAAGTTCAAGGCTTTAACTCAAAATTTATAACTAAAAAAAGTAGTAAGTAAACTAAATTTTTAAATAATATTTACTAAACTTATCTATTATCAATTTTCTAATAAAAAGTAAGTAATTGCTGAGCTTTTATATTTAATAACAATTTTTTTGATAAATGAAATAAAAGATATATCTATGTAATATATTCTTTAAATTTAATTTTTTGATAAAGGTTGAAGTAATTTATTTAAAATATCTTTAAATTTAATCATACATAGTGTGTTTGAAATATTTAAAAAAAATAATTTTTAAAAACTAATTTGATATAAATTCAATGTTTTTGCTTCATAAAAATTTCAACAATATTATGATTCTTTAAATATTCTAATTTTAGTTTATTTAGTGAAAAAAATTCCTTTAAACAAAATAAAATATCTAAATGATAAACATTATAAGTACAATAGAAATGAATTTAATATAGAAATAAGTATTAATTACTGAAAGAAATAATTATTATAATTCATTATGTTGCATATAGTTGCTTTATTATCTCTTTGTAGTGTTCTCTTGCTTAGAAGCGTATTAATTTAAAGGAAGAAGAACAAATGTCTAAAGAGATAAATGATTTAGGCTCAAGATAAATTTTCATGGCCTGCTCAAATGCAAACAGCTTGCAAGATTTACCCTTTTCAACTATTGTTTTCTAGTAGAATTAAATAATATCTTTATTATTGCATAGCTCTTAAAGATCTTCAGTTTCAATATTTAGTTCCTTAGCAATTACTTTAATTTCTTTAGGATTAGGAACAACTATACCTACACAATAATTTTGTAACGAATCTCCATAAAGGAAAACTTCTTAAACACCTCTAGCTGTGCAATATATGTTTTCTACTTTTTCAGGAGCAATATATTCGCCTTAGCTCAACTTAAATATATTTTTCTTTCTATCTATAATCTATAACGATCCACTAGGCCATAAACAACCCTTTAATTAAAAACACAAAAAGAAAATTAATTCAAGTCAAATTTTCTTAAAAATGCTAAAATTGTTATAAAAAATTTTTACAATATCTCCTGAATGAAGCCATCCTTCTCCATCAATAGCTTCTTTTGTCTTTTCTTCATCCTTGTAATACCCAGCAAACACAGATGATCCTCTCACACAAATTTCACCTCTTGGGTAACTTTCACCAAGTTCATTTTTGTCTGTAGATAAATAATTCATTTCAGGGACATCTATCAACTTCATTTCTAACTATCCACAAATACCTCCTACTGTTCTAGGTGCTTTGACATCATATCTAGATGTGCAAAATTCAAGTCCCATTCCTTCTGTTTAGCCATATGCTTCATAGATAGGACAACCAAGAACAATTTTAAAGAAATTCAAAATTTCTGTTGAAATAGGAGCTGACGCACTAAGTGCTAATCTAATTTTACCACCAAAAGCCTACTTCATCTTATTGAAAACCAACCTTAATACAATATAATTAAAATCTTTTAAGAATAAGAATTAAATTAATTTACTTACTTATCATATAAAATATGATGATATTAATTTTTAGTCGTAAGATTGTGTAGCTTGGATTAAATTGCGTATTTGACTAGTAAAGCTTAAAATCCCTTAAGTTTGTTAATTTCATTCTAAATAGCTTCATAAAATCTATTAAATAATCTAGGTACTAAAATCATCAAGGTTGGTTAGCAATCTTGAAGGTCATCTTTCAACTTCTAAATATCTCCTCCAAAAAAAGCAATTTTAGTTCCGGTGTACCAACATACAGCATTAAATATTCTTTACATAGAATGAGGCAATGGCAAAAAGCATAGCATACTATCATTTTCGTTTGGATCTTTTTCATCTAATGCTGCTATAATAGAAACAAAATTTCTATGAGTCAACATTACACCTTTGGGTAAACCTAAATTATTTAAATTAAACATTTTTAATTTAAATAAAAATAAATAACTTTATACCAGTTGTCCCTGAAGTGTAGCTAAATGTAAAAACTTAATCAGGTTTTATATCTTTAGGCATTTCTTGCATTTATTATTTTCCTTGCTAAATTAAATCTTTAAACATTAATAAATTTAATCCTGCTTTCTTCACTTATTCTATTAAATTTTCCTCTAAATCATCAAAAGATACAATATTCCTCAAATTGTAAGTTTTAGGTCTTATTTAATTATTTTAAAAGTTTTTATTTTTATTTTATTTTCTATCAAAACAAATTTGATAAATTTATTAATAATTTTATTAAAAAATGTTTTCAATTTAAATTTTTCATTAGAAATTCTTAAAATTTTTTTCTATATAATTTTATTTTTTAAAAAAAATATTTAATTTAATTGGAATTATTTAAATAATGAATGATTGATAATTTATTAATTAAAATTAAAAACATATTTTAAATTTCTTTTTTTACATTAATAATATTAAGTATTTTAATTTATAATTAATTACACTTGAAGTATTAAATTAATTGATTGTTGCGAGCAAAAACAAGTTGTCATTTATGTCTATTCAAATACATATGATGTTGTTTCAGGATCCAGAGTATCATAAAAAGGAACTAAAGTAAAATTATAAAGAGCGCATGCCCAATCAACAGTACTCCATTCTATTCTATTTCTTGAGTTTATACCTTAATTAATTTATATATTACAGGTTAAGAATTATTTTGTAAATCATTAAAAAAGTACCAATTAATCTTAGATTCAAATTTTTATATTCATTTGTTTAATATGACAAGTTTAAGTTTTTAATTGATGAGCCTATAGCTTTAGCATCTTCAAATTCTTCACCATAAGTTTTATAAGTAAATTTGTTTATCACTGGATCCCTCTTTCCGATAAACTCTCTATCTTTGAATTTAGAATGTGAGTTTATTAGGAGATCTTAAAGATTTTATATCTCCTCATTAGGATATTTAACTATCTCCTGCTAGTAATTGACGTGTCTATAAATAGCGGTCTCTCCTTCCTTTTTTTCAGTAACAGGAACTGAGTAAATGTATGATTAATTTCCTCCCATTTTTTTTAATAATAATTTAATTGTTATTATTTTAATTTATGATATCTTAATTACTTGATGACTCTCTTTTTAAGCTTGTATTATTCTATTTTTATTTTAATTCAAGCTGTTGTTTACAAAATTTTTCAGAACATTTAAAGATGGATAGAAAAATATTTTAGAATTCAAAACTTAATGTTTATATTTTTTGGACTCTTTTATTCCATATTTACATGGAAAATAATTTTAACTAAACATAAAATCTATCTTTTTTATAGTAAGTAAACCTTATTCTTAAATGTATTTGAAAAAGATTTGGTATATCAATCAAAATAATTAAATTTTAAATAATCTAAAAAGAATTAATCAGATAATAATTTAAATCTGAAGTTATATTAAACACTTACTGTTTTTATATGTTTTAATTAAATTTTATATTATTGTTAATATATGATGGTCAGAATTGACACTTTTTCCTTACCCAAAACATAGGTTTAAAGTTAACTTTTTTTTCTTAACTAATGATCTTGAAAATAATAAAATATATTATTTTCAAAAGAACATTTAATGTATATTTTCTTATATAACTATAATAGTAGAAATCCTCTTTCTTTGTTAGTTAAAAATAAGACAAAACTTTTTAAAAATTATGATCAGATATTGAAAAGATCTTATCCAAATTTTATAAGATATATAATCTTTTATAAAATATGTTACTTTTATTTGATATCATTTAATTATAATTAGATTTACAGATTTGCAAATATTAATACATACTTTCAGATTAAAACCTTTAAAAAATTAAGTCATCAAAAAGTAATAATATTAACAATCAATATTTTTTGTCAATTTTAATTAATAAATAATAAAAGAATTGTCTAGTTTTTTTGCAGCTGCTACCAATTTCAATTATTCTAAAGATTGAAAAGTATAAAAATATTATCAATTATAAAAATTTATTTTCTCTTAGCTAAAATAATAATCTAACTTTTAAAGATTAAAATAACTTTTATATAATTGACTCAAGTTAATATGTGTCAATTATCAATTAATTTAATCTATCATACTAAAAAAAAAGATAAAATAATGTAAAAACTTAGATCAGATATTGAAAAGATAGATAGTATCCAATTTTATAATATATATAATCTTTTATAAATATGTTACTTCTATTTGATATCATTTAGTATTTTTATAATTATGAATCTTTCATTTACCGATTTGCAAATATTAATACATACTTTGAGATTAAAAACCTTTAAAAAATTAAGTCATCAAAAAGTAATAATAAAAAAATCAAAATTGTCAAATTTAATTAGTAAATACAGTATTTTCAAATCAAGTAAATCATAAATATTTAATATTAAATTTATTTATTTATTTCAAATTAATGATATTAACAAAAAGAAAAAAGAATTTATACCTTTTAATAAGATTCTGATTGAAATTGTCATGACTTAATTTTACATTTATTTTTATAAGTGAAATATAATATTTTCTTTAATTTTTATTTTATTTTTGGAAATTATTTTTATTTATTTATAGCCAAACTTCTAATTAAAATCTAGTGGTTTGGCTATGTATTACTGAGTTTAAAATTAAATAAAAATATATATGAAATTGTTAGTTCTAAGCCATTTTTTTTTAATTCATTTTTATTTATGATAAATTTTGTTGAAATTTATAAATGTTATAAAAAATGTTTAAACTCAAAAAAAACAGGGTAAACTATTAGAAAATGGTTATTTAAAATAATATCGAGGATATTAAGATATTAATAGATTACCTATCTTCACTCTCTGAATTTTAAAAGCTTTAGAGAGTAAAGTATTAATTGTACTCTATTTATTAAAAATTTATATAAGTAGGTATAAATGCACTTATTTGATGGTTGCAATCTATATACTTAAATAACTTGTGCTTGCAAAAAAAAACTTATGGGATTAGATAATAATTCAATATATTATAATTATTCCCATCAATACTTGGATAAAAGATAAAAATCTACTATTTAACATTATTTTTATTAAATTTAAGGACATTAATTAATTACTATAATCTTTTCAAATATGACTAACTGCCCATCTCTAATACCTACTATATTTTTAAGTAAATGTTTTAAATAATAATATTAAGATTTAATAATGAATATTAATTTTATTTTTTTGTGATATCTCTTCATAAAAGCAAATTTATAAATGAATATTTGATAATTACTATATTTATTAATTAATTAAATTCAATAAATTGCTACTCAATATTTTTGAAAAAAAAAATAAATAATGTAATAGATTAAATAATACAAAGAATTAGAAGAAGTAATTATTTATTTTTATATTAATATCCTTTAAATTTTTTTTATTAATAAAAAAGTTTTTAAACTCTTCACTTTAATCTCATTAGGTTCTCCATATTTATCTAACGTATATTTAAATAAAAATATTTAAAAATTTTTTATTTTAACTTTAAATTTATTTAAAAAAATAATTTTTATAATAGAAATTCTCATTTTCTTTTTATTGTGCTTGCTTGCATTTATTTCTTCTTTCTTTGTTAATTTAGCTCATTATTTTATTTATTTTTAACTTTTGCTTTTATTTTTCATTAATCTTATTATTTCATATTTTTTCTACATTTTTTCCTTCTAAATAACTAATTAATTATTTATTTTTTCTTCAATATTTAAAAAGTTTCAATAAAATTGAATCAACAGGTGCATCAGGCTTAGGTTCTGCTTTAGCAAAGTGCATTAATCTCTCAAATTTGACACTTTATCTTAGGTAAAAACAGTTTATTTATTTTAGATTGTGATATTTTTAATTATAAAACGAATTTAAAACAATAAAGCTCATTTTTCTTTTTCTTTTTATTGTGCTTCCTTGCTTTTATTTCTTCTTTCTTTGTTAATTTAGTTCATCATTTTATTTATTTTTAACTTTTGCTTTTATTTTTCATTAATCTTATTATTTCATATTTTTTCTACATTTTTTCCTTCTAAATAACTAATTAATTATTTATTTTTTCTTCAATATTTAAAAAGTGGAAATTATATTGGTCCAGCAGGTGCATCAGGCTTAGGTTCTGCTTTAGCAAAGTGCATTAATCTCTCAAATTTGGCACTTTATCTTAGGTAAAAACAGTTTATTTATTTTTGATTGTGATATTTTTAATTATAAAACGAATTTATAACAATAAAGCTCATTTTTCTTTTTCTTTTTATTGTGCTTCCTTACTTTTATTTCTTCTTTCTTTGTTAATTTAGCTCATTATTTTATTTATTTTTAACTTTTGATTTTATTTTTCATTAATCTTATTATTTCATATTTTTTCTACATTTTTTCCTTCTAAATAACTATATAATTATTTATTTTTTCTTCAATATTTAAAAAGTGGAAATTAAATTGGTGATAAAGGTACATCAGGCTTAGGTTCTGCTTTAGCAAAGTGCATTAATCTCTCAAACTTGACACTTGGTCTTAGGTAAAAACAGTTTATTTATTTTTGATTGTGATATTTTTAATTACAAAAATTAATCTAAAACAATAAAGCTCATTTTTCTTTTTCTTTTTATTGTGCTTCCTTGCTTTTATTTCTTCTTTCTTTGTTAATTTAGTTCATCATTTTATTTATTTTTAAATTTTGATTTTATTTTTCATTAATCTTATTATTTCATATTTTTTCTTCATTTTTTCCTTCTAATTAACAATTTAATGATATATTTTTTCTTCAATATTTAAAAAGTGAAAATTAAATTGGTGATGAAGGTACATCAGGCTTAGGTTCTGCTTTAGCAAGCATTAAACTCTCAAATTTGACACTTGATCTTCGGTAAAAACAGTTTATTTATTTTGGATTGTGATATTTTTAATTACAAAAATTAATCTAAAACAATAAAGCTCTTTTAATTTATTTGATAGCTTTTTTATGATTATTTTTTTTATTTTTTTATTCTACTAATATTATTTTATTTATTAATTTAAATTTTTAATTTAAAAGTTTATTCTATTTAATTTTAATTCAAAATTTACATAAATTTATAATAAAAGTTTGAACAATTTGAATGAATAATAAAAATTCAAAGTAAAAAGTAAGTGTGTTAAATCAAAAAGATTAGTCGTCTTTAAAATATAACTCTGATGATAAACAAGTAGTGAAAAAAGATGAATAAATATTAAATGTTTGAATAATTAAAAATTATATGTTTTATAATATTATATTTTGAAAAAGTTTTTTTAACCTTAATAAAAGATAGATTTAATGATTGTTTTTTATATTTTTATAATTCATATTTTTATAAGTTAATAAATAGCTTATAATATATAGAGAAAAAGGTGTTCTAGCGCCTTAGACCAAATTAACATTTATAATCATTTTATATCAAGTAATTTTTTTGATAAAGGTTGAAATAATTTATTTATTTTAAATTAACTTTAACTTTTATCATACATACATAGTTTGTTTGAAATATTTTTAAAATATTATTTTTAAAAACTAATTTTATATAAATTCAATATTTTTACTTCTAAAAATTTCAAATATATTATGATTCTTTAATATTCTAATTTTAGTTTATTTAATAAAAAAAATTGATTTATTCAAAAATAAAATATCTAAATGATAAATATTATAAGTAGAATAGAAATAACTTTTATATAGAAATAAGTATTAATTACTGAAAAAATCATTTTTATTTATATTTATAATCAAGATAATTCATTATGTTGCATATAGTTGCTTTATTATCTCTTTGTAGTGTTCTCTGGCTTAGAAACGTATTAATTTAAAGGATGAAGAACAAATGCCTAAAGAGATAAATGATTTAGGCTCAAGATAAATTTTCAAGGCCTGCTCAAATGTAAATAGTTTGCAAGATTTACCCTTTTCAACAATTGTTTTCTAGTAGAATTAAATAATATCTTTGTTCTTGCACAGCTCTTAAAGATCTTCAGTTTAAATATTTAGTTCCTTAGCAATTACTTTAATTTCTTTAGGATTAGGAACAATTATACCCACACAATAATTTTGTAACGAATCTCCATAAAGGAACGCTTCTTAAACACCTCTAGCTGTGCAATATATATTTTCTACTTTTTCAGGAGCAATATATTCGCCTTAGCTCAACTTAAATATATTTTTCTTTCTATCTATAATCTATAACGATCCACTAGGCCACAAACAACCCTTTAATTAATTAAACACAAAAAGAAAATTAATTCAAGTCAAATTTGTTTGAAAATGCTAAAAGTGTTTTAAAAAATTTACAATATCTCCTGAATGAAGCCATCCTTCTCCGTCAATAGCTTCTTTTGTCTTTTCTTCATCCTTGTAATACCCAGCAAACACAGATGATCCTCTCACACAAATTTCACCTCTAGGGTAACTTTCGCCTTGTTCATTTTTATCTGTAGATAAATAATTCATTTCAGGGACATCTATCAACTTCATTTCTAACTATCCACAAATACCTCCTACTGTTCTAGGTGCTTTGACATCATATCTAGACGTGCAAAATTCAAGTCCCAGTCCTTCTGTTTAGCCATATGCTTCATAAATAGGACAGCCAAGAACAATTTTAAAGAAATTTAAAATCTCTGTTGAAATAGGAGCTGACGCACTAAGTGCTAATCTAATTTTACCACCAAAAGCCTACTTCATCTTGTTGAAAACCAACCTTAATAAAAAATAGTTAAAAAACTGTTAAAAATATGAATTAAATTTAATTTACTTATCATATAAAATATGATGATATTAATTTTTAGTCGTAAGATTTTGTAGCTTGGATTAAATTGCGTATTTGACTAGTAAAGCTTAAAATCCCTTAAGTTTGTTAATTTCATTCTAAATAGCTTCATAAAATCTATTAAATAATCTAGGTACTAAAACCATCAAAGTTGGTTAACAGTCTTGAAGGTCTTCTTTCAACTTTTAAATATCTCCTCCAAAGAAAGCAATTTTAGTTCCAGTGTACCAACATATAGCATTAACTATTCTTTACATAGAATGAGGCAATGGTAAAAAGCATAGCATATTATCATTTTCGTTTGGATCTTTTTCATCTAAAGCTGCTATAATAGAAACAAAATTTCTATGAGTCAACATTACACCTTTGGGTAAACCTAAATAAATTTAACAATTTTAATTTTTAAAAAATAAATAACTTTATACCAGTTGTTCCTGAAGTGTAGCTAAATGTAAAAACTTAATCAGGCTTTATATCTTTAGGCATTTCTTGCATTTACTATTTTCCTTGCTAAATTAAATCTTTAAACATTAATAAATTAAATCCTGCTTTCTTGACTTATTCTATTAAACTTTCCTCTAAATCATCAAAAGATACTATATTCTTCAAATTATAAGTTTTAGGTCTTTTGTTATTTTAAAAGTTTTATTTATTTTATTTTCTATGAAAAAAAACTTGATAAGCATAAATTTTTATTAAAAAGTGTTTTTCATTTAAATTTTTAATTTAATTTTTTTGAAAATTTTTAATTTTAATGATAATAATTAAGTAGCGATTGATAATTTATTTACTATAATTAAATAAATATTTTAAAACTTTTTTTTTAATTAATAATATTAAGTATTTTAATTTATAATTAATTACACTTGAAGTATTAATTTAATTGATTGTTGTGAACAAAAACAAGTTGTCATTTATGTTTATTCAAATACATATGAAGTTGTCTCAGGACCTAGAGTATCGTAAAAAGGAACTAAAGTGAAATTATAAAGAGCGCATGCCCAATCAACAGTATTCCATTCTATTCTGTTTCTTGAATTTATACCTTAATTAATTTATATATTTAAGATTAAGAATTATTATCATTAAAAAAGTACCAATTAATCTTAGATTCAAATTTTTATAGTCATTTGTTTCATATGACAAGCTTAAATTTTTAATTGATGAACCTATAGCTTTAGCATCTTCAAATTCTTCACCATAAGTTTTATAAGTGAATTTATTTGTCACTGGATCCCTCTTTCCGACAAACTCTCTATCTTTGAATTTAGAATGTGAGTTTATTAAAAGGTCTTAAAGATTTTATATCTCCTCATTAGGAGACTTAACTATCTCCTGCTTGTAATTGACATGCCTATAAATAGCGGTCTCTCCTTCCTTTTTTTCAGTAACAGGAACTGAGTAAATGTATGATTAATTTCCTCCCATTTTTTTTCTTTTAATAATTTAATTGTTAAAAAAGTAATTATTTTAATTTATAATATCATAATTACTTGATGAGTGTATCTATCTATATTTAAGCTTGTATTATTCTATTTTCATTTTTGATTCAAGCTGTTATGAGTTTTAGAAAATTTTTCAGAATATTTATAGATGGATACTAAATAAAAAAAATATTTTAGAAATCAAAACTCAGTGTTTGTATTTTTTGTACTCTTTTCTTCCATATTTACATGGAAAATAATTTTAACTAAACATAAAATCTATCTTTTTTATAGTAAGGAAATCTTATTTTTGAATATAAGTGAAAAAGATCCAGTATATCACTCAATCAAAATAATTAATTTTTAATTATCTAAAAAGAATTAATCAGATAATAATTTAAATCTGAAGTGATATTAAACACTTACTATTTTTATGTGTTTTAATTAAATTTTGTATTTTTGCTAATACACGAAAATCTTAATTGACACTTTTTCCTTACTCAAAATATAAGTTTTAAAGCTAAATTTTTTTTCTTACTAATGGTTTTGAATAAAATAAAATTTTATACTTTATTTTCAAAAGAACATTTAATGTAGATTTTCTGAAATAACGAAATAACTATAATAGCAGAAATCTTCTGTCTTAGGTAGTAAATTAAAAAAATATTTTTAAAATTTGAGCATGAGATTGTAATTTATCTAGAAATTATGGTTTATTTTTAAATGATAATTTTTTTATGTTAGAGTTTATAAAAATTTATTTTCTCTTAGTTAAAAAGATAACATATCTTTTAAGGATTAAAATTAACTATAATAAAATTTGTTCTAATATATATAAATCAATTATCAAATAATTTAATCTATTATACTCAAAAAAATGACAAAACTTTATGAAAATTATGATCAGATATTGAAAAGATAGTATCCAAATTTTATAAGATATATAATCTTTTATAAAATATGTTACTTTTATTTGATATCATTTGATATTCTTAGAATTATGAATCTTTCATTTACCGATTAGCAAATAATAATACATACTTTCAGATTAAAAATCTTTAAAAAATTAAGTCATTAAAAAGTAATAATATAAAAAAATAAAGATTTGTCTATTTTTATTAATAAATAATAAAAATTGTCTAATGTTTTGCAGCTGTTTACCTATTTAAATTAAAGTATTCAATTATTCAAAAGATTTACAATTATTATAATATTTGTCAATATTAAACATTAAAATATGCATTTTCTATTAAGTAAGTATACTCAACTAAAACATAAAACACAAAAGTTTATAAACATTTTTGAACAAAAAGTGTATTTATATTTAAATAATTTAACAAATTTAATTGAGATCTGCTCCCAGTTAAAAAATATTTATACAAAATAATTTAATAGATTACGTATTAAATTAGTATTTGATTTTCACTAGAAACAAAAATTTAGATATATTTATTAAAATTTTATATTGATTTTGATATTTTATTAAATAAATTTTAATATATAGTTCATTAATTATTTATTTATAGTACTATTTAGCATAATTAATAATTTCACAGTAGAAGCACATAAACCTAATAAAATACTCGATTTAGGTTTCGAGTGTACTCATAATTATTGTTTTAATAAAAATTAATTTAATTTATTAGAAATTTTTATATATTTTACTTCACAATTGTAATATGTTTCAAAATAATAAATTAAAAAAGTTAAATAAAAAATATAATTGATTATTTGATTATTAGATTTATCGAGTATCAATTTATACATATCAATATTTGATAAAAATAGAAGCTAATTAATTTAAGAGATAAATTTCTCTGGAGAAACAATAAGGTATTTTCTTTGTGATAATTTATCATTTTTTATGTGTTTAATAAATAGTATTGTATTTTACATTTTTGATTTGCTTAATTAAAAAATGAACCAAAAGAAAGTACTTACTTTAAAAAATATATTTGTTAGTTAAAACACTATTTTTGCAGCATAATTTATAAAATATAATCAAAGAAATATTAAATTTTATTTTAAATAATCATTCCAAATTTTTTTTTTCATTTATTGGTCAGATTATTTCAAACAGCAGTTCATTAAATTATTAAAATATTAAATGCTTTAGTGTTAAATTATTATGAATGTTACTTGCTATCAAGTTCTTCTCATAAGAATTTAAAATTGCTGCAATTTTTAGAGCAGTTAGTTCCAAGAGAAACCTAGCTTGCTAATTTTTCGCTCTCCAAGCATTTCCCTTGGAGGGTGGGCAACATTTTACAACATTTTTAAAAAATTTTTAATAAAAAACTTTAAAAAATTTTCTAAAATTTTGACAAAAAAAAATTTAAGATTTATTTTAAAAATAAATATGAAAATAAATCTAATTACAAAAATAAAAATAAATAAATGCCTCAAAAATTTATTTTATACTAATAAGTTCGAATTCTCATTATCCTTTATAATTTAATCTCTAGTTTCTATATTATTTTAAGTACACCTTTTAAATAGTAAATTTAAGATTTAAAAATGAATGTTACACTAACATTTTTATGATATCTCTTAATAAAAGTAAATTTATAAATTCATATAATAAATTTTTTATATTGACTTATATTTAATTAAATTCTGATAAATTAATATTCAATATTTTTGAAAAAAAATAAATAATATAATAGACTATGTTTTACAACGAATTAGAAGAAGTAATTATTTTTTTTTTTATGAAAAAGCTTTAAATTTATTTTTTTTTAAATAAAAAGTTTTTAAACTCTTCACTTTAATCTCATTAGGTTCTCCATATTTATCTGCCGTATACTAAATTTATAATAATATTATTATCATTTTCTACATATTTAACCTTCAGTTTATTTAAAATATTACTTAATATTTTTTATATATTTAATTTTCAATTTATTTATAAAATAATTTTTGTATAAAAATTGTAGTCAATTATTTATTATTGATTTTTATTGAAACAAATTTTTATTTAGCTATTTTAACTTAATTTTCATTTCAATTTATAATTATTTTTTATTCATTATTGATTTTTTATTAATTAATATTTTTTCTTGATTTTTTGTTACAAACGTTTATAATTGATAAAAAGAGTTTATTTGTTTTGGATTATGATATTTTTAATTATTAAAACTAATTTAAAACAATAAACATTTTTTAATTTATTGGATTTATTTTTTTTTTCTTTTTATTGTGCTAGCTAGCTTGCTTTTTCCTCTTTCTTTGTTAATTTTAGTCATTGTTTTTTTTCAAACTTTGCTTTTATTTTTAATTATGTTATTATTTCATATTATTTCTTCGCTTTTTCTTTCTAATTAACTTATTAATAGTATATTTTTTCTTCTATATTTAAAAAGTGACAGTTAAATTAGTGATGATGGTGTATCAGACTTAGGTTCGGCTTTAGCAAATTGCACTAATCTCTCAAATTTGGGACTTAATCTTAGGTAAAAACAGTTTATTTGTTTTGGATTATTAGATTGATAATTATAAAAATTAATTTAAAACAATAAAGATCTTTTAATTAATTTGATTTATTTTTCTTTTATTTTTATTTTACTAGCTTACTTTTTCTTCTTTCTTTGTTAATTTAAGTTACTATTTTATTTAAACTTTTTCTTTTAATATTAATTAATTATTCTTATTATTTCATATTTTTTCTTTATTTTTTCCTTCTAATTAACTTTTTAATTAAATATTTTTTCTTCAATATTCAAAAAGTTCCAATAAAATTGGTCATAAATGTGTATCAAGCTTAGGTCCTGCTTTAGCAAATTGCACTAATCTCTCAAATTTGGCACTTTATCTTGAGTAAAAAGAGTTTATTTGTTTTGGATTGTGATATTTTTAATTATAAAAATAGCTAGCTTACTTTTTATTCTTTCTTTGTTAATTTAACTCATTATTTTATTTTCAACTTTTGCTTTTATCATTTAATATCTTTTCTTCATTTTTTCCTTCTAATTAACTAATTAATAATATATTTTTTCATAAATATTTAAAAAGTTCCAATTAAATTAGTGATGAATGTGTATCAAATTTAGGCTCTGCTTTAGCAAATTGTACTAATCTCTCAAATTTGACTCTTGATCTTTAGTAAAATGAGCTTATTTGTTTTGGATTGTGATATTTTTAATAAAAAAACTAATTTAAAACAATCTAGATCATTTCTTTTTCTTTTCTTTTTATTGTGCTATATAGCTTACTTTTTCTTCTTTCTTTGTTAATTTAAGTCATTGTTTTATTTTAAACTTTCGCTTTTGAATTGTTCTTATTATTTCATAATATTTCTTCATTTTTTCCTTCAATTAACTAATTAATAATATTTTTTTTCTTCAATATTTAAAAAGTTCCAATTAAATTGGTGATTCAGGTGTTTTAAGCTTAGGTTCTGCTTTAGCAAATTGCATTAATCTCTCAAATTTAGCACTTAATCTTAGGTAAAAAGAGTTTATTTGTTTTGGACTGTGATATTTTTAATTATAAAAACTAATTTAAAGCAATAAAGAACTTTTAATTTATTTGATTTGTTTTTATTTAGTTTTTATTTACTTTCTAGCTTGCTTTTCTTTCTTTCTTTGTTAGTTTAAGTCTTTTTTTTTTAAAATTTTGCTTTTATTATTAACTATTATTTCTTCATTTTTTCCTTCTAATTAAATGATTAATAAACTATTTTTTCTTGAATATTTGAAAAGTTCAAATTAAATTGGTGATGCAGGTGTATTAAGTTTAGGCTCTGCTTTAGCAAATTGTACTAATCTCTCAAATTTGATACTTGATCTTTAGTAAAAAGAGTTTATTTGTTTTGGATTGCTATATTTTTTAATTAACTAATTTAAAACAAAATAGATCTTTTAATTTATTTCATTTATTTTTCTTTTCTTTTTATTGTCCTAGCTAACTAGCTTGCTTTTTCTTCTTTCTTTGTTAATTTAAGTCATTGTTTTATTTTAAACTTTTGCTTTTATTATAAGTTGTTCTTATTATCTCATTATTTTTTCCTTCTAATTAATATATTTTTTCTTCAATATTAATAAAAGTAAGAATTAAATTTGCACAATTAGTGTATCAGGCTTATGTTCTGTTTTAGCAAATTTCACTAATCTCTCAAATTTGTCACTTAATCTTAGGTAAAAAGAGTTTATTAGTTTTTAATTGTGATATTTATAATTATAAAAACTAATTTAAAACAATAAAATGATCTTTTAGTTTATCTCATTTATTTTTCTTTTATTTTATTGTGCTAGATTGATTTTTCTTCTTTCTTTGTGAATTTAACTCATTATTTTTTTTTCATCTTTTACTTTTATTAAATTTTTCTTATTATTTCATATTTATTCTTCATTTTTTCCTTTTTTTAATTAATTAATAATAAAATATTTTCTTCAATATTTAAAAAGTTTCAATTAAATTGGTAAAATTTGTGTATCAGGTTTAGGTTCTGCTTTAGCAAATTGCACTAATCTCTAAAATTTGACACTTAATCTCGGGTAAAAAGATATTATTTGTTTTGGTTTGTGATATTATTAGTTATAAAAACTAATTTGAAACAATAAAGATCTATTAATTTATTTTATTCATTTTTCTTTTCTTTTTATTGTACTTGTTTGTTTTTACTTGATTCTTTGTTAATTTAAGTCATTTTTATATTTTCAACTTTTTCTTTTTTTATTAATTGTTCTTAATATTTCATATTTTTTCTTCATTTTTCCTTTTTATTAACTGATTAACAATCTATTTTTTTTTCAATATTTATAAAGTTCCAATTAAATTGGTGATGAATGTGTATCAGGCTTAGGTTCCGCTTTAGCAAATTGCAATAATCTCTCAAATTTTACACTTAATCTTGGGTAAAAAGATATTATTTGTTTTTATTTGTGATATTTTTAATTATTTGATCTATTTTTATTTTTATTGTACTAGCTAGCTAACTAGCTTGCTTTTTCTTCTTTCCGTGTTTATTTAAGTCAATGTTTTATTTTCGACTTTTGCTCTTATTATTAATTGTTATTATTCTTTCATTTTTTTCTTCTAATTAACTAAATAATAATATTTTTTTTACAATATTTAAAAAGTTCCAATTAAATTGGTGCAATTGGTGCCTCAAGCTTAGGTTTTGCATTAGCAAATTGTACTAATCTCTCAAATTTGACACTTTACCTTGAGTAAAAAGAATTTATTTGCTTTTGATTGTGATATTTTTAATTATAAAAACTAATTTAAGCAATAAAGATCTTTTAATTTATTTGATTTATTTTTATTGTGATTACTTTTTTTTCTTCTTTTGTTTTTACTTTAACTCATTATTTTATTTTTAACTTTTACTTTTATTATTAATTGTTATTATTTATTTAATATTTTTCCTTCATTTTTTCCTTCAAATTAACTAATTAATTAATAATATATTTTCTCTTCAATATCAAAAAGTGACAATTAAATTGCTAATGAAAGCGTATCAGACTTAGGTTCTGCTTTAGCACATAGCACTAATCTCTCAAATTTGATACTTAACTTTAGGTAATAATAGTTTATTTGTTTTGAATTGTGATATTTTTAATTACTAATTTAAAACAAACAATTAAGCTCATTTAATTCTTTATCTTTTTTATCCTGCTTATGTTTTTTTATTTATTAATTTAAGAAATAATTTTTAATTCAAAATTTAATTTTAATTAATATTTATTAAAATTTACACTGATTTATTATAAAAGTGATAACTAAATTAGTGACTCATAAAAATTCAAACTAAAAAGCAAATGTCTTAAATCAAAAAGATTAGTAATCTTTGCAATGTATTTCTACTGAAAATAAACAAGTGGCGAAAAAAAATTGAATAAATATTTGAATAATAAATTATTATATGTTTTATTTTTTAATTTTTATTATTATTAATACTTGACACAGAAAAATATAAGCTATGCAAAAAAATTTTTAATTATATATATATATATATATATATCATTAGAGCAGATAAATAAATAAATAATTAATTAATTAATAATTAATTTTAAAATTTATTTAAATTATTATAAACTTAATACAAATTACATAAATAAAAATGAAATACTATTATATAAATTTATTTAATATAAAATTAATCAATCTATTACAAAAAAAAATCCTTGATTAGCGATATAAGGGAATTCTCATTCATTTTTATAATGAAAATTCCTATTGTATATACGTTTCCAAAGGATATGCGGGAAACAAAATTTAATTATATAGCTTCTGCTATAATATATCGCTAAAAATTACAAATGGTTTGGTTACTTTCGGTGAAATCTGATGCTGTCTGAATAGGAATTAACTGATTTAAATTAATTTAATTTTTAAATTTTTTTATTTTTTACAAGCTATTTATTAACTGACAAAAATATAATAATATAAATATAAAAATAATAATAAATCTATTTTTAAAAAATTATTCAAAATAAAATATTATAAAACATATAATATTTAATATTTATTCATTATTTTTTCGCCACTTGTTTATCATCATTATATTTTAAAGAGAACTAATCTTTTTGATTTAAGACACCTGTTTTTTACTTTGAATTTATTGATTTAGATTAAACTTTTATAAAAAATTTGTGTAAATTTTAAATAAACATTTAATAAAATAAATTTTTAATTAAAAATTATTACTTAAATTAATAAATAAAATAACATTAATAGAATAAAAAAAATAAATCATATAAAAGCTACCAAATAAATTCAAAGATCTTTATTGTTTTAAATTAGCTTTTATAATTAAAAATATCACAATCCAAAACAAATAAACTGTTTTTACTAAAGATCAAGTGTCAAATTTGAGAGATTAATGCACTTTGCTAAAGCAGAACCTAAGCCTGATGCACCCATTGCACCAATTTAATTTTGACTTTTTAAATATTGAAGAAAAAATAAAAAATTAATTCGTTAATAAGAAAGAAAAAATGAAGAAAAAATAGGAAATAATAAAATTAATGAAAAATGAAAGCAAAAGTTGAAAAATAAAATGATGAGTCAGAAAAAGAAAAAATAGCTTTATTGTTTTAAATTAGTTTTTATAATTAAAAATATCAAAATCCAAAACAAATAAACTGCTTTACCGAAGAACAAGTGTCAAATTTGAGAGATTAATGCACTTTGCTAAAGCAGAACCTAAGCCTGATGTACCTTCATCACCAATTTTATTCTAACTTTTTAAATATTGAAGAAAAAATAAAAAATAAATTAGTTAATTTAAAGGAAAAAATGAAGAAAAAATATGAAATAATAAGATTAATGAAAAATAAAAGCAAAAGTTGAAAATTATAATGATGAGTTAAATTAACAAATCAAGTAGAAAAAAAGCAAGCAAGCATAATAAAAAGAAAAAGAAAAAATAGCTTTATTGTTTTAAATTAGTTTTTATAATTAAAAATATCACAATCCAAAACATATAAACTGTTTTTACCTAAGATCAAGTGTCAAATTTGAGAGATTAATGCACTTTGCTAAAGCAGAACCTAAGCCTGATGTACCTTCATCACCAATTTAATTAGAACTTTTTAAATATTGAAGAAAAAATAAAAAATTAATTCGTTAATAAGAAAGAAAAAATGAAGAAAAAATATGAAATAATAAGATTAATGAAAAATAAAAGCAAAAGTTGAAAATTATAATGATGAGTTAAATTAACAAATCAAGAAGAAAAAAAAGCAAGCAGGCACAATAAAAAGAAAAAAGAGCTTTATTGTTTTAAATTAGTTTTTATAATTAAAAATATCACAATCCAAAACAAATAAACTGTTTTTACCAAAGATCAAGTGTCAAATTTGAGAGATTAATGCACTTTGCTAAAGCAGAACCTAAGCCTGATGTATTTTTATCACCAATTTAATTTCCACTTTTTAAATATTGAAGAAAAAATAAAAAATTAATTAGTAAATTAGAATGAAAAAATGAAGAAATAATATGAAATAATAAGATTAATGAAAAATAAAAGCAAAAGTTGAAAAATAAAATGATGAGTCAGATTAAAAAATCAAGAAGAAAAAAAGCGAGCAAGCACAATAAAAAGAAAAAAAAAAAGAGCTTTATTGTTTTAAATTAGTTTTTATAATTAAAAATATCACAATCCAAAACAAATAAATTGTTTTTACATAAGACCAAGTGTCAAATTTGAGAGATTAATGCACTTTGCTAAAGCAGAACCTAAGCCTGATGTACCTTCATCACCAATTTAATTAGAACTTTTTAAATATTAAAGAAAAAATAAAAATTCATTAGTTAATTAGAAGGAAAAAATGAATAAAAAATATGAAATAATAAGATTAATGAAAAATAAAAGCAAAAGTTGAAAAATAAAATGATGAGTCAAATTAACAAATCAAGAAGAAAAAAGTAAGCAAGCACAAAAAAAGAAAAAGAAAAAGGAGCATTTTTATTATTAAAAATATCACAAACGAAAACAAATAAACTGTTTTTACCTAAGATCAAGTGTCAAATTTGAGAAATTAATGCACATTGCTAAAGCTGAACCTAATCCTGATGCACCCATTGCACCAATTTAATTGTGACTTTTTAGATATTGAATAAAAAATAAAAAATTAATTAGTTAATTAGAAGGAAAAAATGAAGAAAAAATATGAAATAATAAGATTAATGAAAAATAAAAGCAAAAATTGAAAATTATAATGATGAGTTAAATTAACAAATCAAGAAGAAAAAAAAGCAAGGAAGCACAATAAAAAGAAAAAGAAAAAGTAGCTTTATTGTTTTTAATTAGTTTTTATAATTAAAAATATCACAATCCAAAACAAATAAACTGTTTTTACCGAAGATAAAGTGTCAAATTTGAGAGATAAATGCAATTTATTAAAGCAGAACCTAAGCATGATGTACCTTCATCACCAATTTTATTCCAACTTTTTAAATATTGAAGAAAAAAATAAAAATTCACTAGTTAATTAGAAGGAAAAAATAAAGAAATAATATGAAATAATAAGATTAATGAAAAATAAAAGCAAAAGTTGAAAAATAAATGATGAGTCAAATTAACAAATCAAGAAGAAAAAAAGCAAGCAAGCACAATAAAAAGAAAAAGAAAAAGTAGCTTTATTGTTTTTAATTAGTTTTTATAATTAAAAATATCACAATCTGAAACAAATAAACTGCTTTTACCCAAGATCAAGTGTCAAATTTGAGAGATTAATGCACTTTGCTAAAGCAGAACCTAAGCCTGATGTACCCATTGCACCAATTTTATTCCAACTTTTTAAATATTGAAGAAAAAAATAAAAATTCATTAGTTAATTAGAAGGAAAAAATGAAGAAAAAATATGAAATAATAAGATTAATGAAAAATAAAAGCAAAAGTTGAAAATTATAATGATGAGTTAAATTAACAAATCAAGAAGAAAAAAAAGCAAGCAAGCACAATAAAAAGAAAAAGAAAAAAGAGCTTTATTGTTTTTAATTAGTTTTTATAATTAAAAATATCACAATCCAAAATAAATAAACTGTTTTTACCTAAAACCAAGTGTCAAATTTGAGAGATTAATGCACTTTGCTAAAGCAGAACCTAAGCCTGATGTACCCATTGCACCAATTTAATTTTGACTTTTTAAATATTGAAGAAAAAATAAAAAATTAATCCGTTAATAAGAAAGAAAAAATGAAGAAAAAATATGAAATAATAAGATTAATGAAAAATAAAAGCAAAAATTGAAAATTATAATGATGAGTTAAATTAACAAATCAAGAAGAAAAAAAAGCAAGGAAGCACAATAAAAAGAAAAAGAAAAAGTAGCTTTATTGTTTTTAATTAGTTTTTATAATTAAAAATATCACAATCCAAAACAAATAAACTGTTTTTACCGAAGATAAAGTGTCAAATTTGAGAGATAAATGCAATTTATTAAAGCAGAACCTAAGCATGATGTACCTTCATCACCAATTTTATTCCAACTTTTTAAATATTGAAGAAAAAAATAAAAATTCATTAGTTAATTAGAAGGAAAAAATAAAGAAATAATATGAAATAATAAGATTAATGAAAAATAAAAGCAAAAGTTTAAAAATAAAATGATGAGTTAAATTAACAAATTAAGAAGTAAAAAAGCAAGCAAGCACAATAAAAAGAAAAAGAAAAAGTTGCTTTATTGTTTTTAATTATTTTTTATAATTAAAAATATCACAATCTGAAAAAAATAAACTGTTTTTACCTAAGATCAAGTGTCAAATTTGAGAGATTGATGCACTTTGCTAAAGCAGAACCTAAGCCTAATGTACCTTCATCACCAATTTAATTTCCACTTTTTAAATATTGAAGAAAAAATAAAAAATTAATTAGTTAATTTAAAGGAAAAAATAAAGAAATAATATGATATAATAAGATTAATGAAAAATAAAAGTAAAAGCTAAAAAATATAATGATGAGTTAAATTAACAAATCAAGAAGAAAAAAAGCAAACAAGCACAATAAAAAGAAAAAGAAAAAATAACTTTATTGTTTTTGATTAGTTTTTATAATAGTAAAAATAAAGAAAAAATATAAAATAATAAAAAATGAATAATAAATAATTAAAAATTGAAATGAAAATTAAGTTGAAATAGCAAAACTATTTATGTTTAAATACAAGTATATGAATAATGATGAAAGTTTCTGCTAGAAAAATTATTTTTTGAAAAAATAGAAAGTTTAATAAAAAAAAATATTAATAATATTTATAAATTAAATTTACCTCAGATCAATTAGGAGAAACTAATGAGATAAAAGTGAAGAGTTTAAAAACTTTTTTTGTAAATTTATATAAATTTAAAGGATATTAATAAAAAAATTAATAATTACTTCTTTTAATTTGTTATATGTTTTAATCTATTATATCATTTATTTTTTTTTTCAAAAATATTGGATAGCAATTTATGGAATTTAATTAATTAATTAATTATAAATGGATAAAAAGAACAAATAAAAGATAATAATTATTAAATATTAATTTATAAATTTGCTTTTATGAAGAGATACCACAAAAAAATTAATTTAAAATTCATTATTTTATCTAAATATTTGTATTTAAAACTTTTATATGTTGCAAATTCAGGAATTAAAATACGATGAACTGGATATAATGATATTTGAATTCCTAGATTATCTTTAAAAATAATAAAATATAAATAATATTTATAAAAACTATTGCAAAAAGACATTATCAATGAAACTCTTAAATTAATAAAATACTTATTTGTTAATTTAATTAATTATTTATTAATAAAAAAGTTTTTTCTTGAAAGTTTTTAAAGAAGAATTTAATGTTTTTTTAAATAATTTAAATTGTAAAATAATTTATTTTTTTTATTTATAAAAATAATCTATTTAATTCAAATATTATATAGCAAGAAGCCATTCAAAAATCCTGTCATTTGTATGTCACTTATTATGAAATAGATTTTTATATAAATATTTTGATGACATACTATTTTTGATTAATGTATCAAAATATATCAGAAAATAAATTATATATATATAGATAATCTTTAATTAAATTATGTTTATTTCTAAATATTATTTAAATCATCGCTAATAAATAGATAACCATGATTATTTTTTAGAATTGCAAAGTGCTAAATAGAATTTAATTTATAAAATATTATATACTCTTACTTGTCTATTTTAATTAATTAAAAACTTACACAAATAATTTATATAGCTTCATTATGTTTAACTAATATTTAATATTTTGATTTAAATAAATTGTAAAATCATAGTTAAAGTAAAGCAAAATAAAATACTAAAAAAATTATTAATATAGTTTAGAATAAAATGAACTTTGCACATTCATTTGAAATTATAAATAATAAATTTAATTGTTTTACAAATACAATATTATTTGAATTGCTATTAAATGTAGCACAGAAAATAAGTATAAATAATTTAATCAACATAAAATAATAAAATTGAAAATAAAAAATATATCTATTTAATAAAAATAATTTTGTTTTTAAAAATATTAAAATAACATAAAAAATATTTTCAAATTTATTTTGTATTAATGAGAAAAATTTTTATTTTTTAGACAAGTTCAAAATTTTTAAAATAAATTTAATTTCAACTTAAATAAATAAAATAGAAAAAGCAATTTAGTTTACTTTTTAAAATTAATTTATTTAGAAAATTATTTCTATGAAAATTGTTGTTCACAGCTATTCAAATATCAAATGATGTAGAGCAAAAAGAAAGAATAGAAATAGATTTAGTTAATCATAATATTATTAATAATTTTTTACTCAAGATTTAAATGTAATCTCATAAATTAACATAAATTAAATTTCTCACATAAAAGCTTCTAGAAGATAAGATAATCAAGAATTTAAACAAGGTTAAAGTAATCTAAATTTCTTATTTCTTTTTTGTTTTCTAAATTCTTTTGATGTTCTTTAAAATTTCTAAAAACGAATTTTAAATTCTTCTACTTCTATTAATTATTGAAAATAAAATAAAATAAATAAATAAAAAACAAAAAAAATCTGAATTCATTAAATAATATCAAAAGAAATGGCTTAAAGAATTGCTATATTGACTGGTGCTAACAGAGGTTTAGGAAGAACAACTGCTGAAATTCTTGTCTAAAAGTATGCTAACAATTTCTAATATATTTTCACTGAAAGATCTAAGAATCATGATGAATTGACACAAGCCCTTAAAAGTATCAATCCTAATGCATAATTTGAAGTCAGAGATTTAGATATCAGCTCAAAAGAAAGCAGAGCATAATTCAAATAATGGTTCTCTCAGAAATATCACAAAATAGATGTTTTATTTAATAATGCAGGTGTATTTGACTAAGATAAAGATACAGGTGCTAGACCGAGCAAGGAAACTGCAGAATACACTCTTAACATTAATTTCATTAGTAATATTGATTAAATTTTAATAAATTTGAATGCAAAACTATATTATTGTATGTAGACACTGTTGAATTCACAGAAGAACTATATCCTTTGATGACTGATGATGGAAAGATTGTTGTAATAAGTAGTTTTTTGGGTAAATTAGAGCACTAACCAGAAGCTGCAAAGTAAATTTTAGTAAATGAAAATCTCACAAAAGAAAAGCTATTTGAATTAGCTCACAATTACATCAACAACGCTGGTACTCCTGACAAAGACTTAATTTTTAACAATTATGTTTACTTCACCTCAAAAGCATTACTGAATGCTTACACTAGATATGTAGCTACTAAGTACATCAAACCAAATTAATCTTTCTTCGCTGTCCATCCTGGTTGGGTACAAACTGATGTAAATAATTTTCTATAATTTATTAAAGAGTTAATTAATTTTTTAAAATGCAGATGGGAGGAAAGAAAGCTCCTTTAACAAAAGATTATGCTTGCCCTTTTTTGGCAAATATAATAGCTGAGTTCCCTTTCGGAAAACATCCATTAAGTGGATTATTATAATTTGAAAATAAATAATTAGAGTATTGAATTTGTGTTTTTTCTTATCTTATTTGAAATACAAATTTACTAAAACTAAATAAATAAATAACTTTCCTAAAGATTTCATAATAAAATTTATAATATTTTGTTAACCTTTTATTTTATTCAAAATACTGCTTAAAAATATATAAGATAAAGTATTGCCATTTTTATTTAAACTTTTTATAATTTTAGAATTTTTAACCAAAGAACATAAGATTTTCAAAATTTAATCTAATTTTTTTTTAAAGCTAAACATTTTTCTAAATTTATTTTAATTAAATATTAATTGCTATAACCTATGGGAAATTAAAAAGGCATTTAAATATAATTTCATGATTCACTTTATTGCCATTAATGTAGATAAAAATTGTGATTATTTTATTTTCATAATTTAAGAATTTTTACAAATTCAAAGAAAATACCAAAAATAATTATGTAAAATAATATACAAAAAAATATTAATTTGATAGTTTATAATTAACTGTTTATATTTTAATTGATTTAAACTTACTCATTTTTAAGAATATAATTAATCAATTATTTGTTTGTAATACTACTTAGCCTGATGACGTTATAATTTCAAAGTAGAAGTACAAAGACCTAATAATATAAATGATTTAGGTTCTAAGTGTACTTTTGTTGCCTATTCAAAAGTAAAAAGCTTGTTTGCTTTACCATGATCAAAGGTATTCTTCTGATAGAAATTAATAATTTATTAATTTTAACACAAAACGCTAATATCCTAATCTGCATTCACATTTAATTCTGCTGCAATTTTCTTGATTTCGTCTGGATTTGGAACTAATATGGCTACACAGTAATTTTAAAGAGAATCTCCAAACAAAAAGGCCTCTTAAACTCCTCTGGCTCTAATGTAAATATTTTCTACCTTTTCAGGAGCAACATACTCACCTTGACTGAGTTTAAAAATGTTTTTTCTTCTATCTATAATCTTGAGAGAACCATTTGGTAGAAGTAAGCCCTAATTAATGAAAAATAATTAATTAAATAAATAATCATGTGAATATGAATAATTAATATAAAGTAGAAAATAAATTTAAAATTACAATATCTCCAGAATGTAACCAACCTTAATCGTCTATGGCTTCTTTTGTTTTTTCCTCATCTTTGTAATAACCTGGGAAAAGCGAATTACCTCTGACACAAATCTCACCTCTTGGAATGTTTTCTCCCTTTTCATTTTTATCAGTTGAAAAATAGTTCATTTCTGGAACATCGATGAGTTTCATTTCTAATTGAGGACACACGCCACCAACATACCCTGAGGAATTCATATCATATTTAGAAGTGCAAAATTAAAAACCAGTACCTTCTGTTTGGCCATAACCTTCATAAACAGGACATTAAAGAACTATTTTGAAGAAATCTAAAACCTCTTATGAAATAGGAGCAGATCCACTAGCAACTATCCTTATTTTTCCTCCAAAGACATCCTTGAGTTTGTTGAAGATAAGTCTTTGATTTTAAAAATAAAATGATTTAGCTAAGTTCAAATTAAATACTAAAAGCTTAATGAAATAAAATGTTAAAACAAATATTTTTAAATAAATAAAAGGAAAATAAATATTTTTATTTAAAATCTAATTAAAATGAATAAAGAGAGAATCAATCATCTTATTTGAATTTATATTTTTTTAAATAATAATAATTTGTAATCTTGATGATTGTTTAATCTAAAAATTTAATAGAGTTTTATCTTTATAGAAACAATAAAGAAAATAATTAATTTAAGTTAATTTACTTATCGTAAAAAAAGTGCGTTAATTGATTTTTAGTTTTTAAATTCTCTAGCTTGGTTTTGATCGCAGATTAAATTAAACTTTACTTGCATCCTTAAACCTTTTTTAAATTATCTTAGATGACATCATAAAATTTATTGAACAGCCTTGGCACAGAGACAAATAGAGTAGGCTTAGAATCTTAAATATCATCTTTTAATTTAAGTATATCACCTCCAAAAAAGGCTATCTTAGTTCCTGTGTACCAGCATACTACATTGAAAATTCTTTAAAGGACATGGGGTAGAGGTAAATAGCAAAGTTAGCTATCATTTTCATTAATGTCTATTTCGCCTAGTGAAGGAATAATTGATATGAAATTCTTATGTGAGAGCATAGCTCCTTTTGGTAGACCTGAATGAAATAAAATGATTATTAATAGAGATTTTTAAAGTAATAGTTTACCTGTAGTTCCTGATGTATAGCTAAAAGTAAATATTGTATTTGGAGAAACATCGTTTGGCAAATCCAATAAATGAGCTGTACCTTATAACACTAAATCGCTAAAATACATCAAATTTAAACCTCTCTACTAGATTTGTTATTTGGTTTCTTCATCAAGAGGATCAAAAGAAATTATGTTCACAAGCTTTTACAAATTTTGTCTATTTTAAAAAAAAAATTTGTTTACTACTTTACAATTTACTTCAATTAATTGCGATTTATTTTTTTCAATTAAGATAGTTAGAAAAATTTAGAATTGGAAATCTTATCAACCTAAATACTCTAATTAAAAAAGTAATACGTTGAAAGAATAGTTTTGACGCTAGCAGCAGAGCAAAAACAAGAAGTTAATTAAGTCTATCCAAAAATATAAGAAATGGTGTCAGATCCTAAAGTATCGTACAAGGGAATCAATGTAAAACCATAAAGAGCACATGCCATATCAACAGTGTTCCATTCAACACGATTCTTTGCATAAATACCTTTTTATTAATGCGTTTTTTTTAAATGTCTATTTAATTTTTAAAATTCTACCTATTAATTTAACTCCAATATTCTTGTATTCGCTTGTGTTGTGAGTAAGATAAAGCTTTTATATAGATGATCCTACACCTCTAGCATCTCTATATTCTTCTGAGTATGTTTTGTATGTGAACTAATTAGTTTTTGGGTCTCTCTTGCCTACAAATGGTCTGTCTTTAAACTTTGAGTGGGCATGTTCTATAACTGCTTGGATTGTTTGGATCTCTTTGCTAGGAAAATCAAGTAATTCTTTTTGGCCTCTAATGTTTCTATATATTTGTGTCTCTCCTTGCTATTTTTATGAAACAGGAACTGCGTAAATATGGGTTTTTGTTTGGTTTGCTCCCATTTAAATCTAATCTATTTATTATTTGTAATTGATTTATTTTTAAACAATATCTTTTTAACTAAATTACAATTATTTATTTCAATTTATTTAAGAGTATATAAATTGATACAATTTATGTTGAGATTTATCTTTTCTAAATTACTAACTCAAATCATCTATAACTTACGTCTGTAATTCTTTATGATACTATTTTTATATTTATTACTTTCTCTCGTTATAGTTTTAATTTATGTTTAAGAATTTTTTTTGAAATCGTTTGTTACAGTTTTCGAGGTAACTTCATTTTTATTACATATTCAATAATATTAATTTTTTTTACTTTAATTTATAAAAGAAAACTTAATTTTTAATTTTAATTTAAATTAATACCATCCATATTGAATTCTACATACATTCTTCCATTTAGAGTTTGTATTTAGAAAAAATAATATATGTACTTGTTTGTTTTGTAAATATATTGATAAGAATGCTTTACCTAAAATATTCTTATCAAAATGCACAAAGAATACCTCAAAAAAAAAAAATGAAACTTAGAAAAGAAAATATTCGAAGTAATAAAGTAAGTAACTTTAAAGATACAACTAATAATCTTAAAATGCAAATAGAAAGTTTTTAAAATCAAATAATTATTTCTTTATCATGATAAAAATAGCCATTTATTTTATTAATTTTTGGATATTAATAATTTCTAAATAGTAATATTAATCTTTGTAACACTAAACCAACAATAGATAGATAGATCGAAGTATTTAACTATTAAAATTCGATAAGAATAAAAAGAAAATTTTTGAATATTTTCAAAATGAAATTAGAGGATTTAGCTTTTATTCGAAAATATAGTGGTTATCTATCTTAAATAACACCAAAATAAAAAAATTAAACTTTTTATATAAATTTCTAATCAATAAAGTAAATAATATTAAAAAGTTTAATCAAAAAAGTTTTCGAAAGTATTATACGGAGAGGGAGGGTGGATTTGGATTTTTTTTATTTAAGAAAAGGCTTTGGGTAGATGAATCATCAAAAAATTGAAATAATTTGTCACATGAAATTATTTTTTTAATACATAAATCGAAATTAAAAATATTTTTAATATTTAATTTTTTTATTTAGTTTTGAATATTTTGATGAATTTGATAATCAATCTACCTGATTTTATTATATCTTAAAAATAACAGAGAGAAGTAAAGGAGATCTTATAATATCTACATCTCTTAAATATTTTTCTTTTTATTTTGATTGAAATCTAAATGATAAAGCAAGCTATCATTGTTTGCATAATTCAAGTTAATAAAAATGAAAAATTGTAATTTAAAATTTACTGAATAATTATAATAATGAATAGCTATCTATTTATTACTGTGGTTGTAATTTACTGAATTATAATTTATATTTAAGACAATTAATACAAAAATCTAATAATTTAGCATATATTAATTAATTACCATTCAAAAAGATAAGAAATGGAGAAGGATGTTTAATTAAAAGGATAGGAGATAAATTTCACAACTCAAAAGATGGATTATGATTCAATAAAGATATATTGTCCTTTTCACAGAGATTAGTTAATCACTTTAATCTGTATTGAGAATGATTGCAATGAAAAGTTAATGTGCCCAAAGTGTTAATTGTATAATAATACTAACAAGCATGAAATGATTTCTATTTAAAAGTTTGCATAAGTTATTAGAAATTATGAGCATATAAATATGTTTGATACAGAATAGCAATTAGTATTTGAAGGCAAATCTCTAAAGGCTAAGCTAAGCTACTTTATGAAAGCAGCAGATGAAACTAGAGAGAAACTAATGGAAATGGATTTAAAAGCTATAGAGGAGATCATGAATAATTGTTTATAATAAATGATGTCAAGTTTTAGTTTGCTCAAAGAAAAAATAAAGAATTCATACATGAAAAAAATTGACGAAGTTATTTCTTAGGAAGCTCTCCATAACTTTGAGTTTAAGCTTAAAGCCCTTCAAAAAATATACAAACTAATGAAAGAAAGCGACTATTCAGAAACAAATGCTTAAATAATTCATCTGCACCAAGGAGGTTTTGAGCTCGATTATTCGCTTGAAAAAAACAATAAAGTATGCATTCTAATTAATTAAAAATAATGAAGCATAATTTTTTTCAAAACTTGTTTTATGTTATTATTTTAAAGCTTTAGCAATATTTTTTATATATTTATTTAAGATATTTGGCGATTTTAGAAATAAAGTAGAAATCTTTTCTGTAGATATTTTAAGAATATTTAAAACATAAGTTGATGAATTTAGCAAAGTTTTTAGTGATTTTGAAAAGAGAAATTAGACAAAATTCACTAATGTAGCAAGGTAATTTAATTGTTTCATTTTTCTTATGAAACAAATCGAAAATAATAATTTAAACCCTCCCATTTTTTTCTCCTCTGTTTCATATTTAACCAAATTTAAATTTTTTATTACTTAGTAGGGATAGAAAAAATAAAATATAATTTATTTAATATAAAAATAGATCAATTATGAATTAATAGAAATTTATATAAGAGGCTAAATTAAGTACAATGAAACTCCCTAATTTAGTTAGTCAAAAGAGTTCAAGCTAAAATTCTTTAATTTAAAGTTAGACTCAAGATAGCAAATTAAAAACAAGGGCTTCCTTTAATAATCTAACAGGATAAATATTGAAGACAGAACCAAATGAGAGTTAGCAAGATGAAATAATCGAAAAAAATACTTAAATTGTTAAAGGTAGAAATTCTACATAGTTGATGGCGAAGAGATCGAGTGCAATTTTGAATTAAATCTCTCCAAGTGCTAATTCTCTAAATGATTTAGGAACTTTGAATGTTTAAAACCATGAAATAGAGCAAATAAAATAGGAGGCTGCTGCAAAACCTACATTCGAATCACCTAAATCTATAATAGGAATTAATAAAGCCCTTGCAAAGAGTTTAGCATAAGAATTAATATCTCCACTTAAAAGTTTCACTCCTAGTAGATATAACAGTTAATTTTAAAAGATTGATTAATCTTTATCTGAATTTCTTGATTTTAATCAGGCAATAATTGCCAGCAAAGATAAAAAATAAACTAAGAATATAAAGAATCTGAATGAGCATATTAACACTCCAAAAGGAGTAAATGATTAACATATTGACACCTCAAAGACTGTTATTCATGATTTAATTCTTATGGGTAAAGATTTATTTGCAGCAGGAACCAACAATGGTGGTGTGCAGATTTGGAAGTACAAGGATTTTAGCTTTTCTTGTATCTTTTAAATTTAAGCTCACTATTCCCCAGTCAAAGTAGCAGCAACAAATGTTTCTGGCATTATATTCTCATATGGTATAAATGTTAAAGGATAAAACTCTGTTAAGATCTGGAATAATGATACAGAGTCTTCTCTCACAGAGATCATTGAAATCCTAGAATTGCACCCAAACAAAAGCACAATGCTTCATTTATTTTCACTTGCAGAAATATTTAAAGGATCTCAAAATAACGTATAAATAATACTTTTTTTATTCAAGCATTATTTTTAATCTAAGCAAAGACATTAAAATTAAATTAAATCATGTAAAATTTTTATTTAAATAAGAAAATTTATCTGAAATTAAAGCAATTATTTTTGAATGAAAATTCTATTTTGTTTTTATTTAGTTAATAATTAATTACTTTTTTGATTAAAAAAGTTAATTTTTGCAACTTATGGCAATGATGATTTTAGTTAAATTAAGGTTTGGGATTTTGCTTTTGATAACAAAAATTTCAATTCTACAAGCAAAAATCAAATAAAATAGAAGTAAATAATAAGCACTGAAAATGTATAGCTTGAGATAATAAAGCAAGACTTTGAAAAAAATATATTTATTGGTTGCAGTAAAAATTAAGTGATTTTCTGGAAGTATTATTATAGTAAAGAGACTCAAAGGCTTGATATTTAAAAGCTTTAAAGCTACACTTTTAAAATTAACTTAGAAGAAAATGGTATTGTCGATGTAGAGTTTGGTATAAATGATGTTTAAGTTTCAACAAGACTAGGATAAATTACTTTGCTAGAGCTAAATGGATCCTTTATTAAAAGTATTCAATTCTTCACAAAATATTTGAAATAAATTCAAAAAGAAGACATAAATGATTTAGTTTTAAGAAAGGTATTATATTACACAATTCCAGAAAAAATGATAATTATCTGCTAGAAAAATGATACTCACACCATAGTTCCTTTTTTGTATAATAAAGCAGAAGCTCAGCATGAAGTTATGGCAGAATTAAAAATTTAACATCCTATGAAATTAGTCTTACCGATAAATGAAATGCAATTTGTTACTTTAGAAAAAAACAACATACTAAAATAGTATTATCTTTGATATTTTTTATAAAAATTATTTATCTCTATAC